GGCAGGAAAAATAAAAGGTACAAGTACAGATTAGGCGAGACCTGGTTCAAAACTGTAACTGGGAGAGGGACCTTGGAGTCCTAGTGGACGATCACTTGAGTGTGAGCCAGCAGTGTGCAGCAGCAATCAAAACAGCTAATACAATCCTGGGTTGAATAAACAAAGGCATAGAATCAAGATAACATGGAGTATTAATGCCATTTTATAAAACCCTAGTGAGACCACTCCTGGAATACTGCAACCAATTTTGGTCAGCATACTACAAAAAAGACGTTGAGACTTTGGAAAAAGTTCAGAGAAGAGCAACTAAGATGATCAAAGGCCAGGAGATTAAAACATACGAAGAATGGCTGCAGGACTTGGGTTTGGCTAGTCTAAAGAAAAGAAGAAATAGGGGAGACATGATTGCAGTTTTCCAGTATTTGAGTGGCTGTCACAAAGAAGAGGGAGTCAAATTATTCTCCAAAGCACCAGAGGGCAGGACAATAAACAAGGTTGAAAATTGATCAAAGAGAGAAGCAACCTGGAATTAAGGAGAAACTTCCTAACAGTGAGGACAATTAACCAGTGGAACAGCTTGCCCCCAGAAATCGTGGGCGCTCCATCACTGGAGGTTTTTAAGAAGAGAATGGACAATCACTTGTCTGAGATGGTATAGGTTCTCTTGCTTGAGCAGGGGGCTGGACTAGAAGACCTCCAAGGTCCTATTCTATTCTATTCTATTCTATTCTATTCTATTCTATTCTATTCTATTCTATTCTATTCTATTCTGTCTTTTATTAGTTTTGAAAGGGGGATTTCAAAATCTGAGAAGAAAGTTATAAAATCCCTCTTTATGCCTGTTCTGAACCCATCAATGATCAGCCCATCTCACAACACTTTATATATTTAAAACAAGCAGGTTATCTGTAAAGATATCTTAAGTAATAGTTACTTTGATTTAGCCTGTAGCATATATTCAGCACTACAGCTCTCAAATTTGCTGCAGTTTGGGAATGAAATCAATTATTCGGTATTTTAAACCTTCATTATATCATATTAATTACATATTGTTTTGATAATATGATTGGCTCTAAAAAGTAGGATTCTCTTGCCCAAAAAATAATTTTTCAGTGTTCCTCTCCCCCCCCCCTCTTTTTGAGTGAGACATCAGGCTGTTAGGGGAAGTGATATATTCAATTCTGGACTGTGATATCTGTGTGGTGAAAGCTCAGCCTTTGGTGACTAAAGGACATATTCATATAGAATTTTTTGTTTTTGGCAACAGACAAAGATTATTTGCTGGTCTTCTTTTGGTTGTTTGATTGCTTTTGTCTTCCCAGGCGCCCCACAACAGTGAAATTCCCTTTGGGTTTTCTATCCAAGAGCCAGCCAGACCTCATAATGCTTAGCTTCTAAGCCTAGATGAGGACAGACCTATACTGCCACCTGCTGAGAATTCCCATGAAAAGAAGCAAGAAAGTATAAACAGTGCAAAGAAAGAAAATAAAAAAGAGAAAGTTAAAAAGAAAAGATATATTTAAAGAAGTGACTCCTGTTCTTCATCACAAGTATAAACAAACTTATAAGTCTTCAACCCCACCCCCCACCCCCTATAGGTTGGGGGTGAACTATCTCTTTTTCCCACAACCATATGCAAATTCATAAATCATCAAGTTTTCAGGCCTGTTGTCAGCATGAAGTCCATAAGTACCAGAGCTTTATAGAAACATGTCTGACTTTAACCTTTAAGCAAACTATCATTTTTGGAATATTCATCATTGTTTTTGACAGGCAAAAGATTGAGCAGCCTCAAGGCACTTGTTTTGGCCTTTGAAGTCTCCACATCTGCTGCATTCACAGAAAGGCCATAATATGGTAATCCTGGATTTCATTAGTTTAGCAATAAAGGGCCCTGAGACCTTGAGAGGCTGCAAAAAGTGAGTATAGCATCTGGCCACAGGCAGACTACTATCTTCTGGTTTATGACTTAGAATAATGTATGGATCCAGCCAATTGTGACTTATTGAACCAAAAACCTATAATGAGTTGTTCAAAGCAACATTTGAGCCCAGTCAGAATATTAAAATACAGCTCATGCATGAAGGTGGTGACAATATTTCTAAGTAGCATTGAGTGGAAATGGACTTGAGCCGAATACCAAGCCATAAGCTTTTTTTTATCCTTTTCTCCCTCCCAGTACAAGAAATTACTTTTCTTCTCTTTCGTTCTTTGCATGCTTTATCATTCTTTTCTAATTTCTTTTGGTGCTGTTTTGAACACACTGTACTCTTGCAATGTAGTAAAGGCTGCTATTGCTGTAAAAACATCACTCAACTGACTTCCCAGCTGAACAGATTCAGAGAAGTGCCTCAGGTTTAAGGGTGAAGAAAGTTAAGACCAGAGTGCCTGAAATAGGATGTATATGCAGAGATCATGCAGTCATGTTGGGTGTAGTGCTGATAAAGGAAGGTAGACTTACAGTATCCTCAGTGGATGTATGCAATGAAGATTCTCAATCATCCAGGTAGAGTTATCTGGAAGTTGGCTCAAGTTCCAGGATCCTCAGTGGAGTTTTTTTTTTCTTTTATTCCATTTTCCAATCAGATTCCTTTTCACTAGAATGGTGTAAATTCAGTTCCTTATGGTGATCTTTTTCAACTTTCCTAGTGCGTGGAGCCAAGATTAAATGTACTTTCGACCCTGTACTGGCAACTTCATTTCTGTTCCTATCTTTTTCGGGCTTGTCGTAAGAAGTTTTACTTTTTCCAGAAGACGTCAGTGCTGTATTCGGATTCTGACTTTTAGTCCGAACAGTCTACGATATAAAAAAGATACCTGCTCTATGGAGTAGAGAATTGGTCTCTGACAGAAAGCCACCTGAAGAGACTGGAAGCATTTGAAATGTGGATTTACAGGTGGCTGTTACGTATAAGCTGGGTTGACAAGATCAGAAATGAGGAGGTGATAAGACGCCTGGGAAAGCCAAGGGAAATCATCAAAACAATTAAAAAATGAAAATTAGAATATTTCGGACATGTGATGCGACACCCAGAAAAATACGGCATACTCCATTTAATCCTCCAGGGAAAGATCGAAGGCAAACGAGGTCCAGGCAGAAGAAGAACATCGTGGCTTCAAAATCTAAGGGATTGGTTTGGACAAAACTCAGCAGCACTTTTTCATGCGGCTGCTGATAAAAACAGGATCGCCAACATGATCGCCAACGTCCGATAACGGATATGGCACAAGAAGAAGAAGAATGGTGTACAGTAATCAGTAGTTATTTTTACTTTGAGAATGCTCAAGACATTTTTTATTTGGCAATTAAAAATAATTTGATCTAAAATTATTTTTGTAACTCTCATTAAAAGAGTTGGTTCTCCCACTGATCAGAAACCTGTCTGTCTTCTACACCTTTTAGGCAAGATAAATAATGAATATTGTCCCAATCAAAGCAACGTTTGCATGTTGTTCTGTACTTTGACTTCAAAAATACTGAACAGAACGTATTGTCTAATGATGCAAGGAACATAATATTAGCAGTTTAGGTTATTCTCTCCGCCTAAGTTCCTTGAAAACCCTAGAAGCTAATTTTGACATGGCATAAATGGCATGAAGAGTATTTATTATCCAGAGTTTCTGTTGATATGCCTACAAGCACTTCCCATTTGTGTTTCCCTGTCCTGGAGAATTGTTTAAATTTTTCAGAGGCCAGCATATTGCAAACCATAACATCAATCTTTCACAAGTCTCAGCCCTTCAACATATCCAGACAAGAGGCATTATGCCATAAGTACTAAGATTACCCTTATTGTAAAGTTACAGTAACCGCACCTTGCAAGTCTAAAAGCACTTTTCTTCTCCTTCATTTTTATTTCCAGAAAACTAGGAAAGATCCCTTTTGAGACCTTTCTCATGTTCATTTTCCTTCTGTTGGCTGAGTTATCTTTGGCATGATGGCTGCCTACTAGCTCTTCCTCCTGTTTCAAGGTCATTTTCACATATTATCACAAAAAGGATCTTTATTGCCAGGAGTGCCTCTGATCTCCAAACGGGTCCACATAAGCTTTCTTAGAAAGTGAACATGAACAGCTTCAGCCAATGCTCTGGAAGTATGCTCAGTCTGCCCAGAAATGGACCAAAGAAAACATGGATTAAGGGGAGTCTTCTGTCAGAAAGAAGGGCTTCAGCAGTAGCATTCTAATAAGTAGTTCCTTTGTTTCTGGAATGTCCCTCATAACAAGGAATCTGTGAATGAGCATGTCCCTTCTCAGCTATTTTTTTTTTCAGCATGATCCCAACATATTCTCAAAATTCCACATATGCCTACTGGTCCCCAAAGATTCAGGACCATAGGGCATAGACATATAAAAATAGACAGGATTATTTTTTCTTCTTGAACCTAGAGAGATTTAAACCCTATGGATATCTGCATGTTTTTCTGTGCTCTTGCCGGTTTTTTTTTATCTCTCCATTTTGAGCCTTTTTTTCATTAATTCTGCAATTTGTACCACATTTCAGACTGTGCATTAAATATTTATTTTAGGTCTATCTTCACAGCTTTGAGAATAATATTCTTTGCTTCCTTTTTACAGCTGGCTGAATATCAGGAAAAGAGTTGTCATATGTATGTTTGTAACTTTTCTCTAAATGTTGATCCTGTTTCTTACTCTCCAACAAGAGAAGGAAAGCTCCTAATTATGCTTGCAATGAGACTCGTCCCCCAGGACATTGGGTTCTCTTGTATAATGTCCCTCAGGTTCAGCCCTCTGGAATTGCACATATAAGCAGATGTGGAATATTTGGTCTCACACTCCTTTTGAAAATTACTCCATGATAGTTTGGAGGTGAGGTATAAGGCAAGTAAATCTCTCCCCCCTATTTGCCTGAAAAGGAAATCCTGGATCCTTCTAAGAGACAAGGAAGAGGAGGACCCTCACACAGCTCCAACTGTCTACTGAGGCATGAACCTTCTGTTCCTCCTCTTCTTTTTCATCCATGCTCCCCCTATTTACTCCATGGATCAGAAAGCTTTGGAGGATTACGTCAACCTTCCTGACCTTCATTATAGCTATACCCTTGTGTCTAAAGAGGAGCACCATGACTCCACTGTCTATTCCCTCAATATGACCTCAGTGAAGTGGTTGGATGGTAAGTAGCCCTCTGGAAGTGGTGAGTTGGGACTTACTTGATTGTTCCTCTTGGTGGAGAGGAAATGCAATCCTTCTCTGGGAAAAGAAGAATTAAAAAGGCAGGAGATGTTTTCTGACAAGATAATAAAAATGTACTTCTTCTTCATAAAACATGATGGGAAATAGTTGCCTCCCAATCCTGTTTTCTATTATAATCCACCTGTAGTTTGAACATAGATTTTTGCTATACTTACTTAAATCTGTCTAGAAGTGAAAGACAGAATAGCCATGCAATACTATTGTCATTGGAAGCCCCGGGAAACATGCAGCTGGAACCACCCACCAGCTTTCCAAAAGTTATGGTAACTTGATGCTCCACTGCTGAGCATCAAAAGACTCATATTCCTTTGATTTGTTTCCAGTTATTGGAACAAAGCATGACTGAGTTATAGCACTTTTTGAAGAAATGCAGTGAATTTTATTTATAGACTGGTCTCCAACAAGTCATCCCATATCTTGGGGAAGTGTTGAGTTAATGCAAATTGTCAACTCAAAAGAAACACTTCAAGCCTTTCTAGCAGAAGGGGGTTTGGGGGGCCATTTCACTCCCGCTCCCTATTCCATAATTCAAAAAGTCCTATTTTTAATCTTTTATTTCACTACCCAGGTGAAGTATAACTGTACAAATTTACAACCAGATTTACATAACTCAAAGGATAATTTTTATGCAACTGTAACTATAAAGCTCCATGAATCTTCTTATCTGGCATTTGCTCAGTGTCTCTCTCACCCATGCCACTGCTTCCTCATAGGCCAGGGCAATGCATTTTCAGACAGAGAACACGTGTTCTTTCAAGCACTTCCAGCCTTTCCCTTAGTAAGGTTGTTCAGTCACAGCGGCCTCACAAATCAACCTCATTTCTGATGGCTTGTGCTCTCTTGAATCAGCTAGAATCCTTGCTGATCCAAATGCAGATTGGGCTGTTCATAGACTCTGCCAGTCTTGATTGTCTCCACCAGCCATCACAAACTGGACACCTCTCACTCTTCTGGGTCCAGTCCTCTTCCCACCAGACACATGGGGGGATGCCCTCTTCATAGGAAGGGCTGATCCACCTTCCTGAACTTAGCTGTGAGCAGGCATATCAGCTGGGCACATGGCAAGGTGGAGAGAAAAACCTGGCATGTTCTATTACTCTTTCCTCACAAGTAATCTTTTGTTGCTCCCCTAAATGGGACGATTTGTTCCTTATTTCCCTCTTGTCTTCTTAAGCTGACTCACGAGTAACCGTTCTCTTCCTTTAAATTTTTGACTCTTTCCTCTCTTATTCTTAAGTAAACTTTCTCCCTCATTGTAAATCTGTGTTTTCTTTTGTATCTCCTTTGATTACTTAAGTCAGGGGTAGGCAACCTTGGCTCTTTTATGACTCGTGGATTTCAACTCCCTGGTCTCCAACCAGTCATCCCATATCTTGGGGAAGTGTTGAGTTAATGCAAATTGTCAACTCAAAAGAAACACTTCAAGCCTTTCTAGCAGAAATTCCTGAGCCAGCATGGCTGGCTCAGGAATTCTGGGAGTTGAAGTCCATGAATCATAAAAGAGCCAAGGTTGCCTACCCCTGACCTAAGTCATCCAGATACTTATCTTTTTCCTGGCCATTTCTTGCAGGCTTGGTCCCTTTGAATCAAACCTGCTAATATTGAGTCCCCCACAATCTGACACTTTTATATTTTGTATAAATTCTCAGTTTCTTCCATTCATTACCTTATCCTGATTACCTTTCAGGCTTCCATTGGTTTTCCCTGAAGCCACCTATCTCACTCTGTGATCTAATTAACTTATCTATTCATCTTTAGGGCCTGTTTCCTACACCCTGCAAATTTTGAGCCCTTGTCACCCAGTTTCTTTACCCTCAGATTATTCTTTTCCTTCTTATAGCAGACCTCTGTCATATGGTTGAGTACAGGCAGTCCTTGACGTATGACCACAATTGAGCCCAAAATTTCCATTGCTAAGCAAGACAGTTGTTGAGTTTTGCCCATTTTACAATCATTCTTGCCACTGTTGTTAAGTGAATCACAGCAACTGTTAAGTTAGTAACATGTTTGTTAAATGAATCTGGCTCCCCCATTGACTTTACTTGTCAGAAGGTCGCAGAAGATGATCACATGAATCCGGGACACTGCAACTGTCATAAATATGAACCAATTGCCAACCATCCAAATTTTGATCATGTGACCTTGGGGATGCTGCAATGGTCCCAACTGTGAAAAATGGTCGTAAATCATTTCTTTCAGTGCCATTGTAACTTTGAGCAGTCACTAGTACCAGGGGTAGGGAACCTTGGCTCTTTTATGACTTGTGGACTTCAATACCTAGAATTCCTGAACCAGCCATGCTGACTCAGGAATTCTGGGAGTTGAAGTCCACAAGTCATAAAAGAGCCAAGGTTCTCTACCCCTGCACTAGACAAATGGTTGTAAATTGAGGACTACCTGTAACTGGCAGGGGCATGGGATAATGCCATGGGGCACATCTTTCTGCCTATCCAAGCATGGGAGGAATGTATATTAGTGCAGTTGTCTGGGTGAATCCTGAAAGAAGGATCTGGAGTAGCTCTCTCTTTCTTCACTCAGATTTATTTGACTTCATTTCTAAAAATATATTAATCACTCTATAGCTTATGGTTTTCAGGGGGATAATCAACTAAAATAAATGAAATCCATATACAAATGCAATGTGATAGCATAAATAGTAAAATGAAATAACAATGGAGAGCAGCAGAAATAGTTCCTGGATTCAGTAGGCCCAATCTACATATTTGCCTTATGTGGGAGCACACAAGAATGTTATAGGCCATTGTACACTCTGGGCACTGTACAAAATTATAAAAACAGATAAAGCATGAAACCACACAGCTTGAACTAAAATAATCTTGAAAGAAACACAAATCAAAGAAAACAGCCCCCCCCATACAATAATACATTAACTCCAGGCCTGAGACCAAAGCAGGTGTCACTTCTGGCATTTCATCTCGTCGAGCTCTTTGGAAATCGAAGGAGTATCCTGGGATTGGCACACAGAGGCCACATAAGAAGCAATCTGGTCCAAGGCCTTAGTCACATGTCTATTAGAGGCTATAGCCAATAACTCAGCCAAACTGCCTGATAGGTCTTGTGCTACGCTGTCTCTGGAACTCAGCAAGGTCCATCAGTTGCCTGGGGCAGACCAACTTAACAGGCCCTTTTGCCCCACAGAGGTGGATGATCCCTTTATGGTGTGATAATGCAGGGGTCCCCAACCCCCCGGTCCGTGGACTGGTACCAGGCCACGGCATGCCAGCAATCGGTCTGCACAAACAAGCTGTTGAAGGAAAAGTCTTCATCAGGGTTCAGTCCAAGCTTGGGAATAAACAACATGGCGACTGCTTTAGGAAGAAGGTTGTAGTTTATTGAAGAGGAGAGCCAGACAGAAAGATGGCTCTGGAAGAAGAGAGAGCACATGTAGGGAGTGGGTTTTATACCTTCTTGGGCTTTTGTTTGGAGTTGTTTCCTGTTCCTGTTTGAGGCTTTGTATTTCCTGTGTCATGTACTTTGACCTGAGTCTGAGTGTGCCCCTTCGGCATCTGTGGGTTAATCCTATTATGTCCTGTCCTAGAGTTTGGGTGTGGTATGTAGATTTTAGGTCTCTTTGTCTTCTTAAGCTTCTAGCTGGAGGGCTACAACCTTCCTGAATGGATTATTAATCTGCATTTCTACAGAGCTGGTTTCTGCTTGGGAGAGGGAGACTTGGGGCTATTAAGAAAAACCGGGCATGCTTTTCTGCCTCTTTAAGATCTTTTGAGGAAATATAATTTTCTGCCCTTTTAATATTTCCTTCTCTGGGGGGCTGACTTCCCACAAAGCAAAGCCCCATCTGTGGGATGCAGGCAGCGCACAAAACCACACACTCTTGGGTCCTTGGAAAAACCTTTCTCTGTGGAACCAGTCCCTGGTGTCCAAAAGGTTGGGGACCTCTGTGATAATGTATCGTTGCTGGACTTTGTGTCTGGTTGCATTGGTGTGGGGCTTGGGAGTCTTATCTTTACTACAGTATATCTGTCTTTTCATCCCCAGATTCTGAAGTGGATAAAACAATCTGGTGGCATATGGTGACCATTGCTGTGCCCAAAGTATATAAGAATGCACAGATGAAGAAGTCATGTTTCCTTTTGCTTGCTAGTGGAAGAAATGACGATTCAGAAGAACCTGCTGAATACTCTGCTGATCAGATTAGAACTCTAGCAGTCACAACTGGATCGTATGTAAACTTTTCCTTAAGGAGGGGTAATGACAGGAGTTCAACAACTTCTTCGGGAAAGTTCTCAATGGTTTCCATAGGTACCAGGAGCCATGGTGGCACAGTGGTTAGAATGCTGTATTGCAGGCTAATTCTGCTGACTGCCAGCAGTTCAATCCTGACCAGCTCAAGGTTGACTCAGACTTTCACCCCTCTGAGGTCGGTAAAATGAGGACCCAGATTGTTGGGGGCAATAGGAGGATTCTGTAAACCACTTAGAGAGGGCTATGTAGCACTGTGAAGCAGTATATAAGTCTAAGTGCTGTTGCTATCATCAATCCTGCAGAAATTAGGAACCTGAAGACAGGAAGATGTGTTGTAGAAAGCAACAACTGAATTTGTATCAACTGTACATCTACTGTATCTCTAGTTATTTTTACATTTTCTTTATTTCATATAAGATTAGTATTTAAAACCTAATAATAAACAATTTAGGGGAGGAAAGTGGAATAGAAGTAGGATTAAACAGGGATGTACCTCTATCTTCCTAGATTAAGAATTACTATTGTTATTGGTACTTACTTGGACTTCTTGAACACACTCTTTCAGAAGTTTTGATCACAGCATTTTCTCCAAGACCCTATTCCTTTATTTCATCTGATCAACCTATTGGTCCATCATAAGTCTTTTTGTAGATTCTCCTGTGACTCTCCAAAAGACCATATTAAAAAGGAATTAAGATAGATGGCTCAGCACAAAGGCTCCAGAAGATAATTTGAGATATTAAGGGCAGCAAAGGAGAAAGACCATTAATCTTTTGAGGGAGGAAAAGATCTTTGGAGAGCTGGCAGAGGTAGAAGTGGAACAGCAATAACTGCAAACTTTATCAGAACAATAAGCAAAGCAATTAGAGGGAGGAAGACTGAATGAGGATTTCAGCTATTTGCATAATCATGATTTATAGTAGCATTATGTATTGCTCTGAAAATATAAAACATCTCTTCATTGTTGTTATATCAGTGTATGAAGATGCTATAAATCACTACAATGGAAATAATTTGGGGAGGGGGAAGCCAGGAAAAGAGAACAGAGTAGGTACCTCAAAGTGCCCACAGAAAGACTTATCCTATGTTACTCTTGCAACTATTCTGTGGAGCAAATTGGCTAGTGACCTTCACAACTGAGTTAGATTTGAACTTTGACATCTCAAGTCATTATTTAATTTCATATCACATTGACTCACAATGTCACAGAAGACACTTTCTAACTAGTTGCATTAAACCAAATGTCTTGTTGTTCCTTGGGGAGCCAGGTTGTGCTTGTGTGACCAAAATTGGCTGCAATATTCCAGGTGTGATCTTACTAGGGTTTTATAAAGCGGTACTAATATTTTGCGTAATCTTGATTCTATGCCTCTGTTTATACAACCCAGAATTGTATTAGCTTTTTTGGCTGCTGCTGCACACTGCTGGTTCATGGTTAAGTGATCATCCACTCGGACTCCAAGGTCCCTCTCCCAGTTACTGTTTTTAAGCCAGGTCTTGCCCAATGTGTACTTGTGCGTTTGATTTTTCCTGTCTAAATGTAAAACTTGGCTTTACTCCACGTTGAAACTCATTTTGTTGGATAGGGGCCATTGTTCAAGTTTGTCAAGATCTTTTTGGATCCTGAGCTTGTCTTCTGGGGTGCTGGCTACTCCTGCCAGTTTGGTGTCATCTGCAAATTTGATGAGTTCCCCTTCAATTCCCTCATCTAAGTCATTGATGAAGATATTAAAGAGTACTGGGCCTAAGATGAAACCTTGCGGTACCCCACTGTTTACTTCTATCCATGTGGATGCAATGCCATTGAGGACTACTTGTTGAGTATGGTTTGCCAGCCAGCTATAGATCCATCTGGTGGTGATGTTGTCTATTCTACCTTTTTCTAGCTTACCAAGGAATAGGTTGTGGTCTACTTTATCAAATGCCTTACTGAAGTCTAAGTATACTACGTCCAGAGTATTTCACTGGTCTATTAGTTTAGTCACTTTGTCGAAGAATGAAATAAGATTGGTTTGGCATGATCTGTTTTTAACAAACCCGTGCTGGCTACTAGTTATAACTTTGTTTGCTTCTAGTTGTTCGCAGATCTGTTTTTTGATTATCTTTTCTAGGATCTTCCCAGGTATTGATGTTAAACTGATTGGTCTGTAGTTTTCTGGGTCTGTTTTTTTCCCTTTCTTGAAGATGGGGACCATATCAGCCCTTTTCCAATCCTCAGGTACTTCCCCGGTGCTTCAGGATATTTAAAGATGTGGTGCAATGGTTCTGAGATAACATCTGCCAGCTCCTTCAGAACTCTGGGATGTAATCTGTCAGCCCGGGTGATTTATATTCATCAAGGGCGGATAGGTGTTCTCTTACCATTTTCTTGCTTATTTTAATTTTTGTTTCTAATTTGTCTTTTGCAGTGGTTTTTTTTGATATGTTGTGCTATAGTTTCTTTTTGTGTGAAGACTGATGCAAAGTATGAATTAAGCAGCTCTGCTTTCTCCCTGTTGCCTGTTATTTCCTTGCCGTCTTCTCTCTTTAGTGGACCTACAGTTTCCTTGACTTTTTTCTTGTTAATATGTTAATATGTATATGTATATGTAAATAAGATATAGAGAATATGAGAAACTGGAAAAATACCAGGGCCTGAAGGAGGAACTGGGGATGATGTGGAATGTAAAAGCCAAAGTTGTCCCAGTGATCATAGGACCAGTTGATTCCTAAGCTGGGGGAGTAGCTCCAACAGATCCCATCAGAGCTCCCTGTCCAGAAGAGTGCAGTGCAAGGAACAGCTGAGATAATCCTCAGACTCTCAGGCCTCTGTAGAGGACCCGAGATTTAGGAAGACATAGACCATGCCTAAGCATGACAAGGGAATTTTTATATACAGAGAAAATACAGTACTGTACATACATACATACATCTCTCTTTCTCTAAAGTCACATCATATTGCTCTTCTTTCTATAATCTATCCTGTCTAATCATAAAAACCATAAATTGCGACTTCGTTCTTTTCATTTTTTTTCATTTTTTCACAAAAAAATTAAAAAGATGCTTCCAGTCACAATAAAAATATAGATAATGTCTTTTCTCTTATTAAACAAGTTATATTTAATCCTAATATTTTTCTCTTGCCATATAAATTCAGATATATATTGTTGTCATTGTTTAAATAGTATATCTGATGTCAAAACACATACATTGTCTGAAACAAAAATATCATTTTGGGGGGGAAATCATTTTATTACACAAATTGTCCCCAACAATGACAGTTTTAATTTCTCCAATCTTAATATGTCATTCTTAATTTCTGTCCTTGTCTTAACATTATTATTTTGAAATAGCATACAGTTCATATTTGTCACATTAATACTCAAATATTTTACTTTTTTATCACTCTTAAGTCACATTTTGTCCATCAGTTCTAATTAATCTTATGGTTTCATGTCTTTGTTAATATTTTTGTCTTCTCTTTATTAATCTTAAATCTGCTAATATATGAAATTCCTTTGATTTTTCCCATTACTGCTTCTACTCCCTCTAGTGGATCTTCTAAAATTAACAACTCGATACCCACAAATGACCTTAATTTATAAGTTTCAAGCTATATTAATATTCTTAGATGCAGAAAAAGCCCTTTGATGATTTGGATTTTTGTTGTTGTTTAAATTTCAGGAACATATGAACTTTATTAAATAGGTAAAGCTGATTTATACTTCTCAGAAAGCACAAATAACTAACAAAACCTTGTTAGGGGACAAGACAAGACATTCACTATCTCCAACTTTGTTTATTTTGGTTCTTGAAGTATTGAATACAGGTAGTCCTCAATTTATGATCACAACTGAGCCCAAAATTTCTGTTGCTAAGCAAGATAATAATTAAGTGAGTTTGCCACATTTTACAACCTTTGCCAAAGTTGTTAAGTGAATCACTGCAATTGTTAAGTTAGTAATATGGTTGTAAAGTGAATCTGGCTTCCCCATTGACTTTGCTTGTCAGAAGGTCACAAAAACTGATCACATGATCCCGGGACATGGCAACCGTCATAAATATGAACCAGTTGCCAAGCATCCAAATTTTGATCACGTGACTATGGAGCTGCTGCAATGGTCCTAAGTGTGAAAAACAGTCATACGTCACTTTTTTCAGATCCGCTGTAACTTCGAACGGTCACTAAACAAATGATTGTAAGTTGAGGACTACCTGTATAAGACAGGGTCAGAAAATTATGGGGGTTATGATTAAAAAAGAAATCTATAAATTATGAGTGTATTTGCTAAAAATAGTTTAATAATTATTCGAATATCTTCTCCAAGGCTGCACTTACGTGTCATTAAGAGTTTTTTAAATGGAGACTGTTTTTTAACTCCAGCAAAATTCAAATCCAGACTAATCCATTATTTTCTTATATTGCAATACTATATTAGAGTTGGATCTAGTGGAATAAGCCTAATGTTAATCATCTGAAAAGCAGAATTATTCTCAATGTCACATAGCTAAACATGGCCCTAGAGTACATGAGCGAGGGCCATGAATTTTAGAGCAAGCTGATTGCATTACAGGACACTTAGCTACTAAACAGCAAACATACCCACCGTTCTCTGCTTTTCAGCCACCTCTAAAAAATCAGAGTTTTGCTACAGTTGATAAATATAAATTAGCTACTAAATGAGTTGTTCATTCAATGCAACATAATCAATTCCTATTCGTTACAATTGCAGGTCAGATCTTTGCCTGACATATATGGATTGGGGGGGAGGTGAGGGTGGAGAGACAAAAGTGGTGACAAAATGCTCCCAGGATGGCAGAACTCAGATTTATTGTTTTTCTGATGAGTGGGTGGGATGATGAATGGATGTTTATGTACCTGTGGTTTGATTTTCATTTTGTTGAAATGAAAACCTTGGGCCCTTTCAATTGTTCCTTTCTCTTTAGAATAATGGAATAGTCTTGACATAACAGCTAGCCACTGACAGTATTATTATTATTATTATTATTATTATTATTATTATTATTATTATTATTATTATTATTATTATTATTATTATTATTATTATTATTTTCAGCCCTGTGACAGCTGGGGGATTCATGGGGTCATAAAAAGGGGTTGAAAGCTGGGTCCAGCCCACAGGCTGACTAATTTTAAAACGGCATCTGCCTGATGCTGTTGGTGTCAAACTATTTTGTTTGAGTTTGCTTATGACAGAGCAGGTTCTGCCAAAGTGGGGCGATGTTTTTGTTCTTCAGAACAGATTTGGACTGACTGGTTTGTCTTGGCAGGCTTGCAGTTCTTCTGATGCAAATCCCCTTCCAGCCTCTCACTTTCTACGTAAGTACTTGTGGGTTTTACCTGCTTCGAAGTTCCCTTCTGGCTTTCAAAGGAGAGAGAGTGACGCAGGGCAATAATTTTGGATCCCAAAGAAGCTCCTGATGGAAAAAGTCTGCAATAGACTTTATGGCCTGCAGCACTGCAGAGGAGTGCAGGTAGTGACATTCAAACAGAACCAGAAAACAGAATCAACAGCCAGCATTTCAAGAGGCATGAACTGAGTGGATTTTAAAAAACACAGTATAGCCCCTTAGAGATATTTTTTTAACAAAATGAAATCACTCATTCGTATATCGTGTACATGTACTCCAATACTTAATCTATGTAAATTTGGAAATAATGTGTACTACACACACACACACATGCACAAACACACACAAAAAACCCCAATGGTAACTTAAATGGATAAACATATACATGCACATATGGCTCTTGAGTAAATGCTATATATTGGTCTGCAACTTTGGAGTCCTACCAATTTTCTTGTGCTACTTTATTGTATATGGACTAAGCAGCCTTTCAAAACTTGAAAATAATAGTTCTATCATATTCTTCATCTTGCATGGAGTTTCCATAGCAGCAGGAACAGATCCAGAAAAAGTTCTTGAAATTTTGATCCTGGCAATATCCCTGTGGTGACATTTGAGTGTTTTGCAACTGGTGGGCATTTACAACATCCTGTAGATACTTAATCACTATTTGTACATTTCACAATTAGCTTCCAATAAGCAAAATCAATGGAGAAGCTATAAAGCCGTATAATTGCAAGTTGTAATGATGTGAAGGCTTGCTGAATGGAAAGTCTATTGCAGTCATGCAATGTAACCATGTTGCTTAGCAATGGAGATGTCAGTCCCAATTGCAGTTGCTAAGTGAGGACTACTTGTACTTACATAACTTTTACAAGAGCAATACACTGCAGTTACAAACATGAAATCATACATAATTTTTACTAGACTGCAGTTGAAGATAAAAATACAAGTATGATTGTAAATTATTGGCTAAAAGTCTCTTGAAAAGCAAAGAGGTTAGGCTGAGTGCTGAGCAATTTACAACAGATGCTGGGAAGTGGACAAAATGCATTCTTCCTTAGAGCAAGTAGTATATCTGCCATTATTTTGTTAAACAAGAAATGACTATTTTTCTTATTATTTCTAGAAACATCCTTTTGGGATGAAGAATATAACAGAAAATAGTGTGTTTGCATATGTTTTGTGGAGATTTATTAATGATCCAACCAGTTCACTGGACTGGATCATCCAATTCCCAATGGTCAAGGTAATCCTGAAATTCACATTCTTTACTATAGGGTTGTAGAGCTTGGGATCCTCCAGAGATTATTGAACTCAAATCCCTATCAACCCCAACCCGCATGAATAAAAATGTCAGACTGGTAATCTGCAACATATAGACCAGGAATCCCCAACCTCCAGGCCATGGACCAGTACTGCTCTGTGCCCTATTAGGAACCCAGCCATGCAAGTGAGCGAAGCTTCATCTGCACATGTGGGGGCTTGGGGAAGCACGTGAAACTATCCCACCCACCTATCTGGTCCGTGGAAAAATTGTTTTCCATGAAACCTGTCTCTGGTTTCAAAAAGGGTTGGGACTGCTGATATAGAGGGCTGCAGATTTCCCATATTTACTATACAGTGTGGCTGTTGAACCCAGTGGAAACTTTCTAGAGGATTGATGACTTGTGTAGCTATACGCCCTTCTAATGTCTGTGTCTGTAGACCAGAGTCCCTGACGCCCGGTCCACGATCCACTACCGGGCCGCGGCCCATCAGGAACCAGGCCACCACAATGTAAAAAAGATGTTGAGACTCTAGAAAGAGTACAGAGAAGAGCAACAAAGATGATTAGGGGACTGGAGGCTAAAACATATAAGGAACGGTTGCTGGAATTGGGCATGTCTAGTTTAATGAAGAGAAGGACTAGGGGTGAAATGATAGCAGTGTTCCAATATCTCAGGGGTTGCCACAAAGAAGAGGGAGTCGAGCTATTCTCCAAAGCATCTGTTCCGTCCTGTTCTTCGTTACCTACCTTTGAATACTTTTTCTATAGGTTGAATCTTTATTTTTCTTTAAAGGACTGTTAATCTTGTTAATTAGTCACCTTGTTGGATGAAGGTCTTGGATACTTACGAGGTTGTGACCTTAAAAAATTCTTCTCTGACCTGTCGGTAAACAGACTTTACCGTATCCCAAAGGACGGACTGCAGGGGGTTGGACTAGATGACCTCCAAGGTCGCTTCCAACGTTGTTGTTATAGTTATTATTATAGTACTATATATGACATCAGGCCACACAAGTGGTGAGTGAGTGCGTGCCGGTATGTACGGTTCCACTTGTGTGAGCTGTGGGCACTCACGCATGAAGCTCCATTTGTGTGGGCAGCAGGCACTGGTGCAAATTAAGATGTGCACTCACATAGGACCATCCCCTCTGGTCCGCCAAGCCAGAAAGGTTGGGGGGGACGTTGCTATTTAGACCACATGGTGATTACCCTGTGAGCTGTAGAAAACTCCTTTCTATTTAACATCAGCAATGCTTAGTTGTTAGTGAAAAGAAAGACGAAAGAAAGGCATTCTCAGACCAAACTGTTCACAGGTGTGAACAATAAAAAGGTTTCTAAAATACTGTTGTTCTCTTCCTAGGAAGATTTCATTTTAAAAAATCATTAGCAAATAAATTGTACGTACCACATTTAGAAAAGAATGACAGGAGTTTTAAAGAGACGCACCTAAATAAAATCTTGTGGTTGCTTTAAGATTAGCTTAGCATTGCCACAAAACATTTAATGACATAGATGATGCGATGGCTAACTTTTCAGGTTATGGGAAATGAATAAAATATACAATAATTGTTCTGCTGTCTCACATGTTGAGCACTGCTTGTTCTGTTTCCCCCCCTTTCAGCAGAGAGATATTGGTTTTTCACGGGAGCCTATTAAACATATATGTTTAAACCATAATTTTGTTGATGCTTTGAATGTACCATGTCAAATCTGCATTGAAGTCTGTCTCTTTGCAGAAGCTATAATCCTGCTCTCTTCCTGTGCAGGCCACTGTGCGAGCCATGGACACAGTTACAGATTTCTTGCTGAAACAGACTTGTGAAGACGTACAAATCACCGAATTTATGCTAGTAGGCTCATCCAAGGTATCTGAGAGGGCCAAGGCCTAAGTAAGATGGCTGGACAGTTAGAATTTTTTTAAATTTTTTTTTATTATTATTATTTAAAAAAATCCATTTCTACATTGAATTTTTTTTTAAGGTGTGCTCTCCATTCACTCTCTGGTGGATCCCTCCCTTTTATTCCCCCACCCCCTTTGTCTTCTCTGCTTCTATTTCTTCCTTGGTAGAGCTAACATAACTTGGCTGCAAAAATTCTGATGAGCTCCAAATGGCAACAGAGTTTTCTATACCTGCTAGTTATATCTAGTGGTTGCCTGGACTTTTGCAGCCCACGTGTGATAATCCCTGTAAATTTGTCTGGCATCCAAGAGTCTACATCAGACATGTCAAACTCGCAACGTCACGTGACGTCGTGCAACGTATCAGAGCTTTTTTGCCATTGCCGGCAATGGGGTGGGCGCAGCTTCGATATGATGAAACCGGCCCGTGGGCCGGCAGTTTAACACCCCTGGTTTACATAGTGCTGAGCCCTAGTGGCGCAGTGGTTACAATGCAGCATTGCAACCTGACTCTGCCCACAGCCTGGTGTTCGATCCTGATGGGCTCAATAGCAATAGCATTTAGACTTATATACCACTTCGCAGTGCTTTACAGCCCTGTCTAAGCAGTTCACAGAGATAGCATATTGTCCCCAACAATCTGGGTCATATTTTACCGACCTTGGAAGGCTAAGTCAACCTTGAGCCGGTAAGATTCGAACTCCTAGAGCAGTGGTGGGAGTCAGCCAGTTCGCACAATTTCGGCAGAACCGGTAGCTAATTTTTTGTTGCCCAGGCCCAGAACGGACTTCCGGAAGCAGCATCCACACAGAGAACCGGTTGTTCACATATTTGAATCCCACCACTGTCCTGAAGTGAGCAGTGAGTTAGCCTGCGATACTGCATTCTAACCACTGCACTGCCACAACTCTCAAGGTTGACTCAGCCTTCCATCCTTCCAAGGTCAGTAAAATGAGGACCCAGATTGTTGGGGGCAATAGGCTGACATTTGTAAACCACCCAGAGAGTGTTGTATATAACAGTATATAAATCTATAAGCTATTATGGGACAGTATATAAATCTATAAGCTATTGCTATTGCTATTGCTATTGCTCAAAGATGGGAAAAAATCAAAGGAGACACAGCTGAGTCCTGAGTGAAATCCTTCTTCATTCTCTGGTGGCTGCCAGCACAAATTTTAAAGTTACTACCAAGACAGCTGTATAATAGTATAAAAGCAAACAAAAAGCAAAAAAAAAACCCTCTGCAAGTATGTTATGAGAGAAATGTATATAGATCTACAATTAATCTTTAATGTGATAGAGTGGTGGTGTGATGCGTTGTAGGTCATGCAGTTGTAAACATCAAAAAAGTACTCCTCATCACTGTCTTTCTTCATTAAAGTGTTTAAAAGGCTACCCATCTCAGAAAAATTCCTGAGTTTATTTCCAGCAGCTCTTCTCCATCTTTCTATTTTCCCCCTCTTAGCGTGGATGGATTGCTTGGCTGACTGCAGCCATTGACAAGCGCGTGGTGTCATTTGTCTCAGTCGTTATGGACGTCCTGAATTTGGTTGAGGTGAGAGTTTTCAGATGCAGTACCTATACACCTGTACTTTGTGTATACTGGATTGGCTTGGAACAGAAGAAATCTCCTGTTTCTCCAGATTTTTCTAAAGGAGCTTCTTATCTTTTTGAAGGAGTTCCATAATTATAAAGTTAAACGCGAATCTTATGCATTGGTTTCGGACTACCAGAGTCTGTAATTAACCCACTGAAGTCGATTACCTTTACTTTTAACCCAATGCCACCTTCTCCCCACTTGTCGGACAAAATCTAAAAAGACCTGAACTGGAGTGTTACTAGGAGTGGTCGTATCGTTCACCCTTTCGTGACCTTTTCAACATCAGGTTTTATTACCTACGACCAAGCTGCCATTGCTGGCTCTCATTTTAATGGGGAAAAACGTTCTGTTCTGTCAAAGCTACTGTCAGATCAATACCAGCACTTTCCTATTTGCATGTCACTTCTCCACTCAGTTCAGATTGAGCTGAGATAATGAATCTAAACTTCTGCACTTGAACATGTAGGCTTACAAATTATTGCATAAACTGGAAGGGGCATTTTGTTTCAAGGTTTGAGATGATTAAATATAAGTACATAAAGTTCTCAGGGGGTGTTCCCCAAAAGAAGGCTACTTTGCAGATTTTGCCAATAGTTTCTGTAGCAACTACCACCAACCTCCTCCCAACATCCTAGTGCAGTGATGGCAAACTTTTTAGAGACCGAGTGCCCAAACTGCAACCCCAAACCCACTTATGCATCGTCGAGTGCCGGGTGGGTGTGGCCCATTGGGTAGGTGTGGCCCATTGGGTGGGCGTGGCTGCGGTGGTAACAGCAGACTGGGTGGGACTAAAAAGTTCAATCAATCAATTCCAACTTTGCAAGATCTTTTTTTTTCCCCGCGAGAAGTTGAAATTGACTGATTGAACCTTTTTTTTTTTTTTTGCATACAGCGGCAAAGGCCTAAAACAAAAAGGTTTTATAAAACCCAGCTGAAGGCCTAGGACTGGGGCGACGGCGCGCGTGCCCACAGAGAGGGCTCTGAGTGCCACCTCTGGCACCCGTGCCATAGGTTCACCACCACTGTCCTAGTGTAACGGTAAGGTGAAGGATTTATAGAAAATACAAAATGACTGCCAGAAAGAAAACAAAAATTTAAAGTTTTTCCATTTGGGTTTTTTTTTAAAGGAGGAGTACAGTTAGACTGTCCTAAAAATAATTGGAAGTCTCTCCTTTGTCCCTAGAAAAGTTCAGTGAAATTATCATCTCTGTTACTTCACTCGAAATTAAAAAAAAATTGAAAATAAGCATTTGCTTCAAAGCAGACATGTTATCTGATGCGTCACAAAAAAAAATAGATGCATTCCAAAAGTCCTAACTAAAATGTCCCTCGAAGAAGCTATCTCTTTCTAAGGCTCTATGTTACAAGACCTCCTTTTGTGTACCCCATCTAGTTCATAGCAAATCCCCTGCCCCCCCTGAAAATTTCAGAGAGTTGAAGTTCTCAGAAATGGAGGGCACAAGGTTGGGAAAAGCTGACATTTATGCTACAATATGGTTTGAACCCAGGATTACTGACAGGACCTCAGGAGCCAAACAATGTTCAGTACTTGCAGAATTGGTCTACCCATGTGACTGGGGAGTCAGTTACTTAAAAATCTAATGCCAACAATTTAGCTTTTTGTCAAGCTTCCCTTCATTGCATCAAAAGGTCACAGCTATAACCTTCTGCAGAATTTACATCACCAGTACAGATCATATTGTGGCTGGAGTTTCGCACTGGCACCTTTCTACTACATCAATATTACTCAACAGATCGATCATCCCCGTTTTGAACTTATTGCTTCGAATATCGACCCTTTGAGTAAGTAAGCACCACCGAAGGTGAAATGAATGGGTTGAATTAATGAAGGACTAGATTATAGGACTGTGATGTTTAGCAGGAGACAAATGGATTTAGGGAGATGCAGAGTATGTGAAAGAAACTGAGGCATACAATGATGGGCTGTGAGAATAACCTTGAGGAACAGGTGGGAGAGCTATAGCCAATGGAATGGTCGGATAAGAGAAATCTCAGCCCAAAGAAGAAATTGTTTGAGAAAATGTCTCAGACCAGACCCTCCCTAATTCTCTTCAGGATAAAGGCAGGGAGGGGAAGATGCAATCAGAGTTTCAAGATTCTGTTACTTTGACCCTCTACGTTGGTGTCCACGTCTGCCTTGAAGGGCTGACATATAGTTAAGGTGTGGGTGAGGGGACAAATTAAATATCAAAAGCAGTTCTATTCTCTTTCCTCCAAACAATTACCCCTATCCTATTTTGCTCTGTGCTCAACTTGAGGCAAGGCTGAGACCCACACCTTCCTTTCCCCCCCCTTTTTTTCCTGTTCCCAGAATATAATGAGCATTATGTCAACAAAGCAAAGTATCTAATTGTGGCATCAGGAGATGAAATGGGCCAGCCTGACAATTCTTATTATTATTTTAATCAGCTAACAGGAAAGAAATATCTCCGGTGAGTTGAGCCATAGTAGAATGTTCTCTGTTATATGTGTGTGTGTGTGTGTATACATACATACATACATACATACATACATACATATATGTAGGTCTTTGGTTATTTGAGTTTTCTCCCGCGTAAAATTGGAAGTGTCTTGGCGATGTTTCAACGAAGTCACATTCGTCATCTTCAGGCTGAAGACACCAGCCTGAAGATGACGAATGTGACTTCGTCGAAACATCGCCAAGACACTTCCAATTTTACGCAGGAGAAAACCCAAATAACCAAAGACCTACATATAAATATATATAGAGGGTTGCATTTTTAGAAGAGTGGAGGGGAGTTGAGAAATAATCAGTGCTCAGCGAGAGTTTGAATTAATGAGTTGCAAATAAATTGTACAAAAACAGTGCATCCAAGGGATTGTATTACAATTACAATTCAACTCTTGCAACAACTATACTGGTAGCATAGGTTAGATGGTCAGTTTCGATTTAAAATGAAAAAAAAATTGTGCTGGGCAAAGTCCAATCCCTCCTTCGGACAATAAACTCAATGGATGAGATAATTAGTTAATCTAGAGCTTAATGAGAGGCAGTGGAGGAGAAGAATCAGACTTACTGTTCCTAAATGCCTTATAATAATGACAAGCTTGCCTTATTTGGAAATTGCCTCAGATTATATCTTGAATTCGAATTCTCTGATATAGTTTGTGGATTTATTGGATTTTGCCGATACATGAGTAGCATCAATCCTATATAATATCCAAGGATCACTAAATAGCCTCCTTGGTCAGGGTAAAGGAGGAATGGCATTTTGTTTGGGAGCAGAAAAATAACCCAGTGCTGCAGCTTATTTTAACACCATAGCAGACTTAAGGATTTGTTTACTTTGTGTGCCAATGCAAAATTAAATAGGCAACTGTGCAAAGTTGTTTCAAAGCGAACTCTTACTATTCAAGCAATGCATACATTTCACACCGTTCTCACCCTGATCATTTATAGGATCATCCCAAATATGAACCATGCCTTAGCTTTCTATGGAGAGAGTATCAGAATTCCAATCACCACTTTTTACCTTATCACCATGCAGAATCAACAGCATCCCCAGGTCCATTGGAACAGGACTGTGGTGAGAGACATATTATTCACAACAGCCAAAAATAATTGCTCTGCTATGCTAAAATAAGAGTTTAGGTTCCCACAAAAAGGCGTTTTCAACAATCAATTTAGAACACCCCTTATTACCTTAGTAGTATATCCAATATTATGGCCAATGAGAGCACCAACCTGGAACCCTCCAGATGGAATGGTTGAGAATTCTAAGGGTTTCAGTCACTAATACCCCTGGTGGACACTTGTTGGGAAACCTTTGTTACGTTATTCATTATTTTTAAGTAAGTGTTTAAATTAGCTATTTCTTTATTTTGAGCAAACATTAGTCCCAGCCACCCCATATAGACTGTACTCCCTATCCAATTCTGAGTGGGAAAATGTACTTTCCATTCTTTGAGAACTGGGGTGATAAGGGTGGGTGGGAGAACTGGGGTTGGTGGGAGAAGGAGAGCTGGAGCAGGAGGATTACAGCCCTGAGGACCACATGCAATACCAATTGTTGGGGTAAGGATCAGGGTCCATAGATTCAGTCCTGTCCACCCAGATACCAGCTTACCAATGATCTCACTGCAGGTGAGATAGCTAAGGCAAAAAGGATTCGCTTGCCTGTCTCTTTCCTGATGCTCCAATGTTGCTTCCACTGCTGATTTTGCACAGAGCTCTCTGTGGTCCAGTAACCATAAAATTCTCTCAGAACAGAAGGCATCAGATGAATAGGAATGTAAACCTTAAACAGACGTAACAGAAAGTCCCCATCCTTTAAAAAGAAGAATCACAAACCCACCCATGCACTGATGTGCTTGTCTCTTAGTGCATGTTTTGCAGCCATCATTCTTACCCTTTCCAAATATCAAATCCAGCTTCAAGTTACTGAAGTTTGCTTGTTCCATAGATCAGGTGTGTAGAAAGCAGTTTAACTGATGGTCCATCATATCTTGACTTCATCCAGTCATAATAGAGGGTGATGAGGATTGACTTCCAATACATCAGAACAGCAGCAAATTGGAGAAGGCAGCATTAATGACATGGGCATCCAAGATTTGATTTACATACCAACAGTGTTTTTGTTTCCATTTAGGGAAAAGGAAAACAACACTCAGAAGGACACCTGCCTTCATTTCTTTCTCACTGTTCCTTCCTCTTTTTCTAGAAAAATACTGGAGGAGCTATTTACTTTTCCACAGACCAGGAGCCTTCATTGATCTATGCTTACTATGCTAACACTAACGATGAAACAAGGTATTGGGGCCCTATACATTTATATATATATATATTCATTTTCTGTCTGTTTTTGAGAGTTAATTTTGCAAAACCAAATGACATATTTTTTAAAAAAAATGATATAAACCAAAAGAAGACATAGAATTAAAATGAGAAATAAACCAATTCCAAAAAGGAGGAAGAAAAAATACTGGAGTGTACAATTTTCTCCTCTACTTTTAACATCTGTAGGAGAGATTTCCGGATGCACGTGTTATCTGGACAAGAAGCTAAAAGGAATCCTATTAAATGGAATCGTGCTAAGGTGAAGAAAGTGGTGAGTAGACATTCATTCATTCATTCATTCATTCATTCATTCATTCAGCTTTGGTGGAGAAAAATAAAGCCATCCAATTAATAGCAAGCACCCCCTAGGTATATAAACCATTGATGGGAAACTTATGGATGTTTAAATATTGCTGTTACACTACAGTTCCCAACATATCTCACCATAGAGTGTCTACCTCAGCAGCTCCTTCATCTGTCATATCTGAAGAAGCTTTAGCACATAGTAACTCATCAGATAGAGTGGTTATCCAGATCTCACCTTGGGCCAGCTCCTTGATTCTCCTATCTGGCCATTTTCAATGCAGCAAAACATTTGTTTTTATCTGCTTTGCCTTCCTTTCTCAATATATGGGTCAGCTCCCCAGACTGCACATTCGGGCTCAATCTGGCCAAAACTAGCAAAAACTCAAAAAAAGCCATTATCAGTCTTTGTAAATAATACTTATTCAGATACACCAGTGGTTTGATAGCTTATTTCCTCATGGATGATTTCAACTTTCTAAACAGTAATCAGCTATTTCTTGTCTTTTTCGTTCTTGGAAAGAGCACAAATGTTTATAAGAAAGAAATGAAAAACCCAGACAAAGGATGGACAGGATTCTTCATTGAGGTAAATATTGAGTTTTGTAGATAATGTTTTGATGGGGGAGGGGCAGTCAAAGTTAAAGACTGGGCTTCCTCCACTTCTGGATATTCAAGACTTCTTACCTGAATAATCGGCTTTTATAAAGCTGGGCTTGAGTGGGGGGGGGCACCAAAAGTTTTTAAAGTAGGCCACATCCCTGCCCCTGTGCGCAAGAATTGTTTCACACTTGCAAAAGGAGCATGTTTTAATTAAGATCCTGGGTATTCTAATGTTTGAAAGGGGAGGGGAGGGGTGGACTTGAGGTTTGCAGGGGCAGAGGGGGCAAATGATGATATGGACAATCCATCCATTTTGGAGTTGTCTGTACTTAGGGGGCAGAAAGTCTACTGCAGAAATTATTTCAGCATTCTGATGCAAGTGTCCTATTCTGCAAATGCTTCTGCATCTGCCTCTGTCTTTGTTGTTTCAAAGGAGGAATAAACAAGGGGAAATGAGGGCTAGAACTAATGTGAAAAGGGGAGGGCCACATTTTCAGGGGGGGGGAGACAAGTGGTTATCTGATAGCCCTATGCAATGACATGGAGTTTGTCTTCTGCCCCCACTTGATATTTTTTCTTATAAAAGCAGCTGTATTTTCCATTGTCTTTAGATGCTTCCATTTTAAATTAACTCTTTCCCACTGCTCCTGACACATTTTTTGCCATTGATGTAATCTAGGATGTTTCAGTGATAGTGTGGTTGATGACAGGGTCAGGGGCTGGGACCTACTTAGCTCCTATTGGTTCTTTCAAACTGGCCCCTCCTCAAGGATCAACCTGTTGCAGATGTTGCAGTGCTGTGATGCAGTAAGGCAGAGATGCACAGTGAAGCTAGAGAGAAAGAGAAACAGTAGTTTTCATCTCTTCTGTTTGAAAGTGCAGTCCCCCTCCATGTTTGTCAGCCATTTTACTACAAATACAAACCTACTGGGTCATCTATGGAATCAGGAGAATTTTTTCCTTTCTTACCAGGTGATCCCTGCTGAGTTCATACATCAGCATCCTCAATACCAGAATATAGATCTATCTATCAAAAATGACTTCCTGTCCTAGAGGCAACCCACCTTAGAGTGTGGAATTACGCTAATAATTCTTTAGAATTAGTAATTCTTAGAATCACACTAAAGTGAGAGCCAGTTTGGTCTAGTGGTTAGGACACCAGGCTAGAAAGCAGGAGACTGTGAGTTCTAGTCCCACCTTAGCCATGAAAGCCAATTGGGTGACTTTGGGCCAGTCATTCACTCTCAGTCCAACTCATCTCACAGAATTGCTGTTGTGGGGTAAATAGGAGGAGGAGGATGCGTTGGATATGTTCACCGCCTTGAGTTATTTGGATAAATAAAGTCTGGATATAAATAAATAAATAAATAAAATTACCTGGAAGATAATACTCAGTGGAAAAAACAATTTGCTTAATTTATGCTGTGTTAAATCTATAAGGGCAGTACTACTTGCTAACCAGAAGGGCATACAGTATTATATTGCAGTATCCTTCTCTACTAGTTCAAAAATAGATGGACTGCATGTTAATATAGCTGCCCAGCTATGCCACTTAATGCATCCCCCACCATCTTCATGAGCAATGTAAATTGAAGAATAAGGAACTGTTTGGCCCAGCATTCTTTGGACCCCGTTCTGAAGCAGGGCTTTAAAGAATATGATTCCATTACAGGCTACATATGCCGGCTTTGGGGATTCAAGTGAAAAATTAATAATAACATCCGAGCTTCACATAATCCCAGAAACCTTTCCATGTGAGGACTGTGTTGGAGAAGGGTGCTACAGCAAACTTGTCTGAGAACATTCAACTAAAATGGAAGATGCCTTTGAATGATCAATAAGATGACAGAAAAGCGGTGGCCGTCCAATTTCTGGAATAACCTAGAAGAGGGAATGGCCAGTGTGCTCTTTCAGATACTGCTGGGTCTACTGGAAGCTGTACTTCAGTAATCTCTACAACATGGCTTCCCCATCTTTAGCGTAGGTAGTCTGACTCACATTTTGCAATAAATAAAGCAAGCTATTTTCAAGGAATCATCTGTGAATCATAGTGGTAACAAACACTAATGACTAGATATAGTTGCCTTCAAATGATTTCTTTTTTTGTTATGGCTTCTCCACAATTTTCCTTTCTTTTACTTAATAAAATCTTACTCTGCATCACATCTGGCTAATTGGAATTAATGTATGTTTAATATATGTTTGGGATTACAAAGGGATTGAGGTTCAGTACAATGTTTGGCAATCTGGAAGAAAAAAGATTGCATTGATCTCTATCTCTGTGTGAAGACGTTTTAAGGACAGGGCAGAATTGAGACATTCATTACCTTTGTTATATATTACAGAGAAACTGTGATAAACTTATCACACTTTATATACAGAGGGAATGTGTAGCATTAATTCTTAAATCACATTTAAGTGCAGTTGGAGAAAAACAGATTTAGGAATATTCCCAACCATCTTCAGAATGTATTTGCATTTATCAACAGCTTCTTCTAAAACTGTGGTCCAGTATGTTGGTGCCACTAGTTAGTAAATACCATCCATTTAGTAGTTAGTAGTGGCACCAACATATTGCACTTGTGAACAATTAAAGGAGGTGACAGATGTTTCTAGTCTCTAGATGACAGAAATCTATCATAATTTTTACTATTCTCTGTAGACTCCTTAGAGGAAAGCTGGCAGATGCAAGAATCTCAAATAATATAAAAGTGAGTTATAGCACTTTATCTTTACAAGGAGCTATAATATATTCCCAAACTTCTTGGGGGAGGAGAGAAGGAAGATAGCCTGAACACTTTACAGAGACATAATAGCATGAAGTCCCAGAAGTTTTCTGGACACCATCCCAATTTTAATTCTTCCCTTTCAAGTTATTTATAATAAGCTGTCAGGTTCTCCTTTGTTCCCTCTTGAGTTTCTATTGGGCCAGTTGATAAGCTTTGCAGCTGCAGTCATACATTCAAACAATCTGCTCAACGTTGAGTTATTTAGAAATTTATTATTGCAGATTAAACTTCGGCTCTGGATCTGTCACAAGGGAGCCCCCTTGTGATCGAACATAGTCATCAGTGAAGGCCTTGCCCTTGTGAATGAATCCATCTGAGTTTTGGTGAGGGGTGAAAAATCAATTCTGAAACCACACAATTTTTTAATTTATTTTTTTTTGCTTTGATGGGTAATCTGTGCTCTCATTCAAAGGGATTCACATCCTCTCTTCTCACTTCCTGTGTTTCCAGTAGGTTAGGCTATTAAATAAACAAAACTGCTGCCATGCCAGCATTAAGAGTTTGGAAGGCAGTGGATGCTTGCCACCATAATGAGCACAGATATAGAGAGCAAGTTATTAACTTTTTATGGAGATGAGAAAGGATAAGTTTTCCAGTTCATGGAGAATGGATAAGACTGGTTGGCATAGATACCTCACTTTCTATGCTCAGCTAATTGGCCATAAAGGCTTATTTTGCTGGCAGTTTTCTTGAGCTTCTGTAAATATGCTCATCCTTAGAACACCCTGTTGCCAAAATAGAGCTGAAGTGGTAAGAGCAGCCAAAATTAATGTTGGACAAGCTTTAAAAGAAATTCAGAAGGGTTGGAAAACCAAAATTCTTGTCATCTAAAGATAGCCATGGAGAATCAAAGTACATAGATTTGCTCCTTAACTCTTTTTTAACTAAGGAGTTTTCAATGGAAGATTACTTTGGGAAATGGAGCCATGCAAATTTCATGTACAAGCATCATCTCTCTATAGATACCCATCATTCTCTCCATAATTGTTCAGGAAGCACTCTAAACTTTACTTTTTTTAAAAAAAAATACCAATTTAAAATTAAGTTTTGACTGGGAAATACTAGTCCCAACACATCTTGAAGGAATCAAACAGGTGAAAAACCAATGCAAGCCATTATTCTTCCTCTGTCTATCCTAGATCTCTCTTCACGCAATTGTCCTAAACAGCATCCAAATGAAGCTCTTAAAATAAATGCTGGATTATTGGAACATTATTAATGGAATTGTACATGAGATGTATAGATATAGCCCTCCTGATTTTCTCCACTGCGCCTTCCGTCATTCCCTACCTCGCATAAAATTTCAATTGAGGAGAAAAAAGCATATTAATTACACATCTTTGGATTGGAAGTGCTAGATGTACCTTTAATTAAAGTCCCTGCATAATCTTTGGTACTGTTCAATATGATTGATAAACAAACAAACAAACACATAGGGCTGACTCATGTGATGAACAGTTAAGGGAACCAGTTATCCCTAGGTATGGCTAGCCTAATAAAGAGAAGGATTAGTGGTGACATGTCTTCCAGTATTTGAGGGACAGTCACAGAGATGAAGGGGTAGAGTTATTCTGCATAGCATCTAAGAGCAGGACAAGAAGCAGTAGTAGGTGGAAGTTCATTAAAGAGAGATCAAACTTCGGACTAAGGAGAAATTTCCTTACAGTGGGAACAATTGATCAATGGAATAGCTTGCCTCCTGGAGCTGAAGGTGCTCCATCGCTGCAGGTTTTCAAGAAAAGATTGGGCATCCATTTGTATTGGGTGGTATAAAAATTCCTATCTTGGGCACGGGGTTGGACTGGGTAGACCTTCCAGCCCTGATTCTATGATCTGAAGGAAACAAAGAGTTTTTCATATAAAGAAGCAGCTTTGCATGTAGGTATCGAGTGAGGTACTGTACAGTATGAATCAACACAACACTCCCCCTGTCCCAATTATCAACTTACACTTTCTAGACATGATTTCTTTGTGAATACTAAAGGCCATTTCACACAAAAAATTGAATTCCAGGTAAGCAATTCTGAATTGTACAGTTCTCATTCTAAACAGGATCTGGAATAGTAGTGATGACAATTCAAAAATCACACTTTGCTGCCATCTTCAGGTAATGAACCAGGCATGAGTTTCAAAAAGTACATTTGAGGAAATACACATAATACACACAAGCACTCATTTCCTGAGTGTCTTTAATAAACAAAGGTCCATAACTTGAATCAGGGAGCTACAAAACTGATTTCAAGTTCAAGTTCTGACTGGTAGTGACAGTAAAAGGAAGCTAATCACCATCAGGCATCAATCATTTCTTTTCCATTTTGCCAATGGAAATAATAAAGTGAACGTACTTGCGTGCTTGCAAGTGAAATGAGAAATGCTGCTGTAGTGATTCACACACCCTTGTATGCATAGGCAATGAATCAGAGGTTTGGGTTTTGGTAGAAAAAAAAATCACTTCCAAAACCATACAATATATCTGTTTTGGTGGGTCTGCTTAGCGATACTAAACACAGTGAGTGTCTTGAGATTTAATTCCTGGCCAACTCCTGCACTGAAACCATGGACTGGTTTCTGTCAGAACATGTTGAGTTTTGGACAAGGTAGACTAATAATATGTCTTTCTTTCTTTCTTTCTTTCTTTCTTTCTTTCTCTTTCTTTCTTTCTTTCTTTCTTTTCTTTCTTTATTTTTCTTTTCTCTTTCTTTTCTTTTCCTTTCTTTCTCTCTCTCTCTCTCTCCCCCCTTTTCCTTTCCTTTCTCAAGCATTTCTTTACATATTGTAAGCAAACTAGGAAACAAAGTTGGCTCATTAACACTTCCCCCCCCCCCTTTTAAATGATCTGGGAAACTGGAGGGAATGGAGGATGTAGCTCTAACTCTGAAGAGTCACCCCTCAACACCCCCTCCTCCCTGTAAGTAAATTAATATTTGTATTTAACTTGGCATGCCAAGTGATATGGCATTGGCTACTCAACTTTCTAGGTAGTTTACAATACTGCAACGCTTCACAATTTATTCTTTAGAACCCAACCGTGTGTTCACTAGATGTGCTGGACTACAACAGCCAGCATTCCGAGACAGCATTGCTGACTCCCTTGCCTGGTTCCTTACGGAACTTCAGCTGCTCTAAATGGTCATCTCATTTCAGCATCTATTTTGAAAGGCATCCAGGATGGGGTAAATTTAAGATTATGTCATGTCTGCATGCAAAAGCATAATCAGCAGCCACTCAGTTGAAAATGTTCTGGAAGGCAAATCTTCCCTTTGGGCAGCCTGCTCTCCCTGGTGCCCCAGCTGAGAGTCCATGTCTTCTGCCTCAGGCTGGTGAAATCTACTTTTTTCATCTCCACAACCCCCAAGAGGTCAACAAGTAAAATTTTGAATGTGGAAAGAGGATGTGCCAACTCAAAGATTTTCTATACAAACATCCATTCCCAACTACCTTTCCACTCATCCCCACTTTCTTAATTTCAGCATTTTAATTTAGTGGGCTGTTGTGAGATGCTTGGGAGTCAGAAACTCTTGCTGATTTATTTCCAATTACCCAAAGATGGTCTAGCACAGGGGTAGGCAACCTTGGCTCTTTTATGACTCGTGGACTTCAACTCCCAGAATTCCTGAGCCAGCCACACTGAGGGGAAAGGGACAGGTTTCCAAGCTGAGCCATGCTGGCTCAGGAATTTTGGGAGTTGAAGTCCACGAGTCATAAAAGAGCCAAGGTTGCCTACCCCTGGTCTAGCATATTACAGTTTCCTGTTTGCCTGCTCCAAGTATAAGCACTGCCCTTGTTAGCTCTAAAGGAACCTGGTTATTTTCTTTTCTTGGCTGAGTGGGAAACTTCCTGCCTCCATCTTGCAACTCTGCATTTTATTTAAATTACATACAGTAGCACTGAAATGTTGTAAGACTTCAACAATTATCTTAGTTCTTGTATGCAAGATGGCAAGTAATATATAAATCCCACCAGCAGACAAGTCTGCACATGCTGAAAAGCTCATCATTTCTGTATCGGTGGATATACCATATTTTTAATCTCACATAATTATTTAAATAGACATCTCTCAGTATAAGGTGCAAATCAGGAAGACTTACATCCAACAATGGACTCCAACTCATCCTGCCAACATCCTCCAAAGCCATTAAGATTTGCTTAGACCCACCTCAATGTACTATTTTTTTCCCCAACAACAGGCAACCCTAGGATTAGCTGGCAATAACCTCATGCAAAAACATCGTTGCTGGGATTCCAAATTAATTCAATCTCATTATCCCGGTTTACCCAGCTAGAAGAAGACCTTCTCCGTCACGTTACTTCATACGATTTTGATTTTGCAAATTCAAAGAGGCTGCCCACATTATCTGGCCCCTAATCAGAAAGAGCCAGATTCTTTTTTTTTTTTTTGGGTGCAAAACAATCCTCAGAACACAGAATGTGCTTAATTGTCGGCAGAAGAACACAAGCAGGAAAAGATAAATGTAAGCCAGATGTGAGTTCAATGTTTATTTGCTGCAGGTGCTCTGTGCTAAATCACAAAGTTGTGGGAAATTAAAAGTTCCAAACCAGCCCTGAAAAAACAGATTCAAAACAAAATTATAACCCAACTGTTTGACCTGTAATATCTTTCACTCTCCCCATTTTCCCCTTGTGCTACAGCAATATGCAGGAATCCTGTCGTGTTTCATAAAAACAATCTTTAAAACAAATACAAAATAATCTCAAGGGGTAAGAAATCTGTACAGATAGTATCTACATCTCAGATAAATAGACTGATACACAGAGGGGTTTGGAAGCTTGGAGAACTGGGTGAGGAATCAAGAGTTCCCCAAAATTTTGCAAGGGAAGGCAGCCTTCTTTGTATCTCTCTTCCCCACCCCCACAAACCTAATTGCAAACATTAGCAAGCAAACCCACCCCCACCAAATCCCTAATCTCTTACTTGTGCTTCACTCAGGGTCAAGGACTACTACATCCACTGTTCCAAGGCAACCTCAGCTGAACTAATCCGGCCCCATCCCTGCCAAAAAAGAACTGCAACAGGACTGATCAGAAAGACACCCACCAGGATGTGTGCTTTACCCTTCCTTATTATTGGAAGTTTTTTTTTTCTTCTTCCTTAAACTCTGCTATTCTGGGGGCCATTATTCCAATGCTAAATAAAAAAAAAGAGGGTGGAGATTTCAAAGCCAGCAGTTGAGTGGGGCAGTCCCCACACGTTGTTGGCAAAATCTTCCTGCAAAGCATCAATATTAATCACACAATCGGCTTGCCCATTTCTGCAAGCTTGTGAACTGGCTTGCAGCAATCACAAGAACAACCTAAAGCAGGTGCCCTCTAGAACGAGGACAGTGGAAATCCTGGAGATGGCAGCCTTGCACTAGGCCACTAATCCAGGCCTTGGAGCAGACATCGTGATTGCTCAATACTCCTAATGGTTAATTATAAAAAAAGTGAAAGAGGATCCCAGCTAATCATGCCTAACAGACCACACTGGCTGAATCGCTTTGGGAACAGAAGCCATCAATCTTGCTTGACTAACAAATAAAAAATAAAGGCAATATGGAGTGTCTCTGGAATCTCCAGGCTTCAAAGCTAGCATGTCTGCTCTATAGATCAATGTATACCTTTAAAGGTCCATGGTCCACTCCTGGTGCTTGGGCTTTAGAGAGTAGCAACAGCAACTTAAAATAGAGTTACATCCCCTTAGGGGTGTATACTGCATGATGCGCTCTACCTCTCCATTAGCTCACACAATGAACAAATCAACTATGATAGCCCAAAAGACTCTCGCCACTTTCTCTTCTGGTCACATGCACTGCAGAAGATGCAGTGGGGTTCAGGTTGCCAAGATAAGAAGCTGGCATTCTTCCTAGGAAAGAAGTTAGTGAATTGGTGGCTGCCATCAGCTTAGCGCCCCCTTCCCTTCTTCCTGCTCCCAAACAGGAAAAGAATAGCAAAAGCTGAAGCTGGTCTCCTGAGGGTAGCAATAGAGAGCAGACAATCTAGTGCAGCCTCTCGTCCCCCACCCTCAGGAGATGGAGAGGTATTCCCTGCAAAAGTTCACCACCACAGAGTTAGACAAGATGACTAATGTCGCTTGGTGGAGGAAACCTTCTTCTTGCGTGCAGCAAGCATCTCGTAGAAAGGGTCCCGGCTGATTGCAGCTCTGAAGAGAGAAAAATGGAGCAGGGGAAAAAAAGATAATTAAACTCTTAGAAGGCTTCCCAGCAAGATTTAAACAACCAAGGCTCAGAATGGCTTCAACTTCTTTCCTAACTCTTTAAGGAAAGTCTGTCTTCACCGGGCGTTCTCCCACCTAACAAGAAGATCACCGGATCACTTTTTTAGGCTACAAAAAAGCCAAACGTTTTATTATGATTTCATTAAGGATTGTCCTACCTCGTTTTCTCTTAATCAGAGCATTACAGGTAGTCCTTGACTTACAACTACAATTGGGACTTGAATTTCCATCGTAAATCGTTGCACTTGTAAATTGTTGCATGACAGGTTCCGATTTTACACCCATCTTTAATGCAATAGTAAGTCGAGTCACACGGTTATAAGTGTGAATCCTGCTTAAAATTGCAGATCATAATCAAGAGACTGGAGGATACCAATAAAGGAGAAAATGTGTAGCCCAGGGTTGAAATGAGGGATCCTTCATGCTCTCTGAACTTGGTTGTTTTCTTGCAGATGTTTCATTATCCAAACTAGTAACATCAACTGTTGACGTTGCTTAGTTTGGGTAATGAAATATCTGCAAGAAAACAAGCAAGCTCAGAGAGAACCAAGGACCCCTGGCTGCAGGGTGCTGCAACTAGTCATAAATGTGAGCCAGTTGCCCGAATTGAGATCATGTGACCGCAGGGGTGGGATAATGGGCATAAGTTTGAATTTAGGCCATAACCAATTTTTTTTTGGGGGGGGGGGGCTGTCATTAATTCAAAATGTCATTAAGCAAATAGTTGTAAGTCAAGGACTACCTGTATCCCTACAAGCCTATTGACAAATATTGGCAAAAATCTAATGCTGCTCCCCTCTCCCCAATTTCAGGTTCTTCTTTGGCAAGAGATTTATACTTCCTCTTACTGCTTCCCCATCAAAAATCTGAATTATGCACGAAATTCTAGTAAATTCCCATATTGCTTCAAATACTGGCCATTCCCTTCTTCCATCTCACTTGATGCATTTGATCCACTCTTCCTTCTCTTCTGTAGTGGGTGCCGAGATGCGATACACAGTGTGGTTTCCTTCTACCACACGTCCGTCTGCCTCCGTCTTACATGCTTTGATGACCTGGTCCTTATTGTCAGGGATATACAGTTCAAAGCAGTTCTGCAAGAAGGACATGTCAAAACTTATTGCTGCACTTCATTAAAAATGAAGTCAGAAATGTTAACACAGAGAATTCAGTTGACAGAAAAGTCACAAGTTTTCTGCAGCAAATATCAGTTCCATAAACCACTTCTGTTAGCTGAAGTAGGAAGATGCCAATTCAACATAGTTTCCTATGTAATCCAAAATGATAAATTATGATTCCCAATTAAACCATCAATATTAATCTTGAATCAATCGCTGTGGCTTATTCCAAAACTCATCGTATTAATTTCCAAATTCAGTTGAAACAGGAAACTATAGTTAAAAGGCTTTCCAATTTGATTGCTCCTCCATTGGCGGCGTGAACAAAAGAAAACCTGTTAAGTGTTGTCAAGAAGTGTCTTCGTCTCTTCTTTTATTAAGCCAAAGTCAGATTATACCAATTTATAGAAATGCTAATGTGGCATCAACATAGTAGCTCAGATACTACAGAGTTCATCTTTATACTGGGCAACCATTTCAGAACAGTGCATATCAGAGTTGTCAGAAATCATTTGGAATGCTTGGAAACATGAGCAGATCACCTCCTCCTTAAGGTAACTAAATCTCTTTTCAGGCTACAGTGCAAGATACAGCTACATTAAAGAAGTGCTGCTCCCTTTGTTTATTTATTTATTTATTCAATTTTTGAACCACCCATCTCGCTCAGAGAGAGAGAGAGAGCAGTTAGAAACAGTGTTAAGCTATTAAAAAAATGTTTTACCTGCTGGGATGAAGGAGGAAGTAACTTCTTTTTTTCTTTTTCTTTCCCTTTTTTCCACACACCCCATTTTTCTTTTCTTTGTAATTTTTGTAATTTGCAGTGATGTTTATCTTTTATATGTATAATTCTTAATAATGTTATTTGTATTAAAAAAGTAAATGCTCCCTTGTATTAAAGAAGTACTGTTCCCTCATGATCTATTCTAGAACATCTCTTCCAAATCACTTCTGAAGTATGGACAGCCTCAGGTTTTGTGCACTAAAATAAAATATTCTAAAAAACAACAACAACCCACCACCTTAAGAATCATCTGATCAAGATTTATTATAAAATAGATCAAAGGCAGCAAAGGTAGGGCTTGAAAATGTTGTGGGTAAGACCTGGCCAATTCTCAGAAGTCTATTTTCTTCCTCTGTAGGATTTCCCTGAGCTGTGGGGGTCTCATGCATAATTTTCCTTCTCTCGTTGAGTAAACAGAAATAGAACCAGTTCTACAATGTAGGCAAGCCTGCTTAATAACTCATATTTCAGGGTTTCTCCCACTTTTCTTGAATTCTCTCTCATTTTCTTTTAAAGCATGCAGAACAGCAACAATGAGGGCTTGGGAGAGTTTTCTGGGAGATTCATTTTGGTTTTGAATAACGATTTCCTACCTTTATGCATACACTAGAATTTTCATTTGCTTCCAACAAGAAACTATGCTTTCAACTCTTAGTAACCATAGTAAAACAAAAAACAAAAAGGAACGAAAGGTTGCAAAAAAAGTGACCTCACCCCATTTCACAACAGTCTCCAGGCTTAGTATTACTCACCGGCTTCTTAGAATCTTCGACCTCACGGATGCTTAGATTCTCCAGTGGAATAATGCCTCTCGGTTCCTTGTCCTGCAAGATGGTCAGATTTGAATCCATAAATTATCTTCTCAGTTGTAACACATGCTACAAAGTTCATTCATCACAAAGCTAAGTGGGGAAAACCTCCTCTCTCAGACAAATATATCCAGATAAATGCTTTAAAGACAAAACTTTCAGTGAGGAGGCCAAAGGCATATACTGTATCATAATAAAGTAAGGAGAAAATGGCATGAAAAAGGCCACAAATATATTGGCGAACAATCTTTTCTGGTTTTCGTGGTAGTATTTGGGCTCTCTCCCATTCCAATAGATTTTAGCACAACAGTTTATGCTAAATATTCCAATCTTATGTTAAAATAAGACTTCACGTTGAGGCTCACCATTTAGAGTAGCGCCAGAGCCAGATTTCCGGTTTTGCAACACAGCTGAGGGATTGCAGGGCTCCACACCCCATGGCTGAATTCATCCTGCCAGGGGACCCTAAATGGGTCTAAAGTCGCCCTGAAGAGGCGACGGAGGAGCCCCCCCATTGATCACGGAAAGACGGTTGATCCGGGGGAAGCCCTCCAAACCGACAGAAGAAAGGCTAGCTGCACTTCGGTGACTAGCCCAAGCTACCGGCAGCCAAAGTCCAAAAGCACCAGCTAGAATAGATTGTGAACAGCATGTTGGAAATTGGATGAGAATATCGATCTTTTCTCTAATCTTGCAACTGATTTCCTGGAAAAGTTCCCCAAGAAGCAAAAATCCTCTGAAAGTGAGAAGGAGGGGGAACGCCCCACCCTTCCATAGACGGAAGTGGCTCTAATTTTTTGAGGAACAGAAACATATTAAAATGGAATTTAATATAAAGCTATGGTCTGGATAAACCTGAAAATTGTGGAAATTGTTAAGATCTTCCCTTTGAAAATGTATTGATGAAATTACAAGAAAATAATTTTTTGTCTTAAAAGTTGGAAAATGGATAGCTACTGACAACTAGTGGTGGATTACAGTATAAAATTATAGCTGTTTTGGCTCAGAAACTGGCAAGATGCCCAGAAACAGATAACAACCTGTCCCTTTGATCCTCAGTGACTCTCAGCTAAACAGAGAACAGCTGGGAACAGAGGAGAGAAAATGCATTGAGCTATCTACTACAGACTGAGAACTATAAAAATTGCTGACCTTCCTGGATTATAAACAGTTACTGAGCTGTGATCTTTAGGCTCAAGAATTGTCTGCAGAGAAAGAAAACCTTGACTTTTGGCTACTTTTCTAGGGGCGAAGCTCCTAAATTGCTTTTAGGTAGTTGAACATTTTGGACTGCAAATGTTGGCTGATTGATAATTGTAGGACCCCTGAGCAGAAGAACCGTTATAAAATATTGCTTTTAGTGGTGGATTGATAATTGGAAAAGTATTGGACCATAAAGGCCATACATAAAGATAAGAATTATACAAGACTTTGTTGTTTGGACTTAAGATTGGGGATTATGGTACCTGTGAAAGATTATTTGGAGGGGGGAGATAAAATGGATGTTGCATACCTAACTAAAATGGTAGGAAACCACACCCAAGATTCTTTTCTGAAACTCCCAGCCTGGAACATCAGAGATCTGCAGGAGTAATACTTCAAGACAAGGCAAATATCTTCCAAGAGGAAATGCATGCTATGTTCCAACTAATTCAAATGACAATTGTTTCAAATCATGATGAGATTAAAAATAATTTAGATGATATAAATGAACACATCTTTAACCTAAACTTACAACTAAAAAACTCTCAGAAAATGATGATTTAAGAATGAACAAATAAACCAGACAATAGAACACAAATCAGAAGAAACTGACCCAAAGATGGAGGCTATAAACAAAAGGAATTACAGCTTAACACAGCCAAAGAAAAATCTGCAAGATTCTGTTATAATATTGGAAAAGGAAAAAGCATCTTATTTTTCAGGACTTCAAAATAAACAGAGGACAAGAAAGAAGACCTGAAAAAATGGATTATAGAGATGCCAGCAGAACCACTAGAGTTTGGGAGACAAAAAATGAAAAGAGAAACTGAGGGAGAAGGAAAGTGGAAGCTCTTTAACAAATATAAATGGGTGAAACTTCCCCTCAAAGGTACTCCACCTAATCTGTGATTTATAAGTAGTATAGCATTTTTTTTTCTTTTATGAGATGAGAAATATAAAAATACTGGGATGGTTTATGTGAATGAAATGTCTGGATATTTAAATGTAATTAATTTTGAGAAAAGTATAATTGACAAGAATGTTTTAAATATTGAGGGGAAATTAAGCTTAAATAAGAACTTCAAAAACATGACTGATAGCGATTTAATAAAATAACTCTTTGCAAATACAATTGAAACATAAGCTGATTAGAAAAGATGTTATACACTGATATTGATGTTATTTGTATAAACACTAGGAAAATGTTTTCATTCAACTTTGTCTGTATCAAAAATACTAAGAATTGTACTTACTCAATGTTGGCAAAAGGAAAATATTATTGGAAGAAGAGAAAATCAAGGAAATGTATCACTAGCTAGTATGTTGATTATGGAATCATAGAAATTAACGATTATTGATTGTTGTTAAATATATGAACCCAGACAACAGTTGTTTACAAAGCACTAAAGACTGTTATTGTAAAAAATTAATAAAAATATATTTTTAAAAAATAGAGTAGCACCAGAGCCACCCTGGGTTGTACTTGGGTACACCTGCACAAATGGTATTAGTCTGGAACACTCACCGTGGTGTACTCAAAGTAGTAAAGGCAGTTGTCTGTCAAGATGAACCAGCGTCGCTTCCACGTCTTCACTCGGCCACCTGCACAAGGGAGAAGCAAGCTTGACAATGCTTGCCCAGGCCAAAAAACTGGCTATGGACACAAGAGCAGCTAAGGCAAAGGCAGAGCTACAGCCTACAGGCACAACAGACAGTAGCCGAGCACATAATTGTCAAGAGCGCAAGCAGAGCCAGCCCCACACCAGAGCAGCAGGTGGCTTCCAGCTGAGCATGACAGCTTGGGGAAGTGGAAAAGGTTGCATTGGTCAACCCTAATATATGCTACTGAACAAACCTGCATCTGCTCTGCACAAGGATGGAGAAAAGGCAACATATTTCCACTAAGATATAGGCTTAGACTTACTATGAGTAAAGTCTACACTTTAGCCAGATCCTCAGATGAAGGTGCTCTCTAGGATTCCACCTGACTCTAGAAAGCCCAACCTACACCACCCCTTCACCTCTTACTTCATAAACAACCCTTTTTATTATAGGTGAAAGAACAGGGAATTATTTACACTCTATGATAATTTGGCAGCCAGGAAACAACCTTTTTGATCTTGATGCTTTCAGCCCTACCTGACCATGACATACTATTATATTTTAAGATTCAATAAGCTAGGATAAGAAAAGGTCCTTGATCAAAAAGGGTGACAGGAATAGCTATCCCCACCCCATGTGCCTTCAAGATGCAATAAGGCTTCTGGATTTGTGAAACATTATTTGTGCCCCATGCAGAAAAAAGGAAGCAACTAAAGGGTGTGATATTGGAATTTGGTCTTAGTTTCTTTCAACTCCATGCCTTCTAAATGTCTTATATTACTATCTCAGCCCTATGATTCCCATTTTCCCAGCCTAAGACAGCAGTCCAAATCACCCAAAGGGTACCAGATGGACAAACATTATCTCAGGTAAACAGGTTATTTTCAAATGAGATTTCCCCACATAGATGGGAGATATGTCTACAAGGGAGTTGGCTCAAATTAACACCTATTATGGATATGTATATGGAGATCTCCTTTCTTTTTCCTAATACTAAGTTCCTCACAGGTAAAACAATCTGGCTTCACCAGTTGCTAAACAACCTGTTTACTCCCCCAGTGTGTTTCAGATATTTATCCTTTACCAAGGAACACTCCAAAACAGAAGCTCAGTGGAAAAGACATAAATCCTGTCAGCTTACTTCATAGCAATTCATTGGTTCTTTCTGGGTTTTTTTCCCCCCTTTTCTCCAACTAAACCATGCCCACAATTAGCCAATAGCTTTATTCTGAAAATCAAATCGATGTCAATGGGAAGATTCAGATTGAGGGAAGCACATTACTTTTGGCAAACTGTGGGAAAATATTTTAAAAAAACTGACCTCAGGTTTTGTCAGAGATTCAGAAACGTGGAAGGAATCAGTACAAATAGATACTATTCTGAACACTTATTTCCCAGCGAGACCACCAAGGTTACTTCCATCCACAACTGCCTGCCTTCACTCATTAAAGGACAGAAGTTTTCACAGCCCCCTTGGGCTGGTCTAGCCAGCTTATGCAAGGGGGGGTGTCCTGTGGTTCCAAGAGGCAGAGTAAAGTTGAGAAGAGAAGAGGCAAAATTAGCTCAATCAGCAGTGGCTACTCTGGCAAACCCAGAATAGCAGAGTTGAGCCAACCAGAGATTACCAGGCACAAAAATATAAAGACCCACTCAGGGAGATCCTGACCGCCACATATAGGCACAGACAACAAGACTTCATTCAAGCAACATAAAAGCAAAAACAGAAAGGGACAATGGTGGATGGAAGAAGCCAATTGCTCCAGATAATGTGTGCTACAGTCCCCAAGGAACCTAGAAACCTTCAAGTGTTGCGAGTCCCTCATATCATGGAATGACCAACTTCATCACAAGTCAATATATTAAATAAAGGCAAAGAAAACAAAACCTCCTCAGGAGAGCCGATTGGTAAGCTCAGAAATTCTCCAGCTGTATCCTCACAAGTATTTGACAGTAGTGTTTTGCCCATTTCCTTTCACTGTAGACAAAACTCACCCAGGTGGACAAACAACCTGTGCCAGCAGAAGACAACTTCCAGAAGAGCCCACCAGAAAAGAATGCAGTGAGATACGTAGCTTCTAAGGAACAATAGGCCAGCCACCTTTAAACTGAGGATTTCATTAAACAGAAAGAGAAGTGAATTGTCCACAATGATATTATAACCAAGACCAACAATTGAGGATCAGGGCCTTGGATGAAGAAGATGGTGATTAAAGGTTTTTTTTAATGTATGTGCCCCAAATTGTGAACTGAAAAGCAAAATGTGAAAAGATCTATCATTTCACCTCCCCTCCTTTTTTTCTTAAGTTCTTAAACTGAAGCTCTTGTTTAGGGGATGGCAGACTTACATTTGTCAATTTCAAAACACCCTTGAACTTGGGTGAATATGTAAATAAATTCTAGAGTTCCAGTGTGTAATTAGAGGGACAGAAACCACCAGCAGGTTTTAGCCATCTTTTTCCAAATGTTATCTTTTGAACAATTGAGCAACTGTAAGTATTTCTTGAATCCCAATTCAAGAAATACCCTCGCTTCAGAGAATTCCAATTTGCTACCATATATACAGCAGAGAAATGCTGAGGGGACAGTATTATATCTGAAGGTTACAAGCCAAGAACATTTATGGATAATAACTGACAGAGTTTAAAAAAAATCCCAAAGAGTTTCTTGCTGTCAACTATTGTTCATCCTTATTTTCAATTCAGACATGGCAATTCTAATAGCTGGGGTATGTTTTTAATGACCTAGGGCAGGGGTAGGCAACCTTGGCTCTTTTATGAGTCTTGGACTTCAACCCCCAGAATTCCTGAGTCAGCATGGCTCAGCTTGGAAACCTCTCGCTTTCCTCTCAGTGTGGCTGGCTCAGGAATTCTGGGAGTTGAAGTCCACAAGTCATAAAAGAGCCAAGGTTGCCTAACCCTGACCTAGGGAGACTCCTACAGTAAAAGATATACCTACATTTCTTTTACTTACATACTATTTTAACCCTTCAGGTTATAAACCACTCAATACAGTTATAGTTAATGCTAATATGATTAACAAATTTTGGGACTCCATCCTTTTGGCTACAAATTCATTGTTTGGCATTAATGAAACCTCTGCCTTCATCAGCCAGGCATCTCCAGGGATGCTGATACTCTAAAATAACCATGCAGGCTGAAAATTACTGGAGTTAGTCTTAACTCATTGGGCAGACTCCTGGTTGGGGAAGGTCCTGATCCTGTTCTTATTCCATGTCCATAAAATAAAAAGATAACCTATTTACAGGTTTATTGTAAAGATAAAAAAGGATTGTAAAACAGTTACATCCATAAATTGATCAATAAGTTAACCAATTGAAAAGAAGAACTTAAATATGCATGGTGGATTCTAGTCAGTTGGAGTGGCACTGAACCAAAAGCCCAACCTGATAAGAGATAGGATCATGGTCTTCTCTCCTCTGATCCAGTTAGACATTTTGATTCTGTGTCATCCCAACTAACTGAAAACTACCGCATATATAACTAAGGGAAGGGGTCTTCTCTGTTCCAAAAAGGACCAGAGTATGGCTAACTCATTGCCACAATCAATTAAACAACTAATATTTTATTATTCTTTTTCACACTGGCAGCATTTTTATTTTGCTTATTGATCTTGGATGAAAATTATGTATTACCAATAGGGATTCTGCATTTAAACTTGCTCTTGATTAATTGTTTCCATTCTTTGCTTCTTTTTTTAATGACAAGCAGGAAATATGTATGGGCTCCTCTTAAAAAGTATTCTCTTAGTGATACTTTTCCTGTCTAAAAGTAATGGGAGGGGGTTAGTAAAAAACATGGACTATGCTAGGGGGTTGGGGGAGAGGTGGAGAACACAACTTCTGAAAAACATATACATGGAAATTGGTAGGGCATTGTGTAGTAAATGGGGAAGAGATTCGTAATTCATCTTACAATGATTTAGGTTCATCAGCTGCATGATGCAGTGCTGATGAACAGCTGTTGGCTCTTGACACAAACAGGCAAGGTCATCTTCTAGAACAGGGGTGTCAAACTGCCAGCCCATGGGCCGGATGCGTCATGGCAAAATCGCGCCCACCCCATTGCCAGCAATGGAAAAAAAGTTGCAATACGTCACGACACATCACATGACCTTGCGAGTTTGACACCCCTGTTCTAGAAGACTCATGATGGCACTGCAACCATCAAGACTGAACTATAGCATTCTGTAAAAAGTCTCTTGAAGCAATTACATTGCTGTGAACTGCCCATTACCTAAGACTGGAATGGTAAAACAATTGTGTGAAATACATAATTTATTAATTATTTAATCTGATTAATTATTTAATCTGATTAATTATTTAATCTGATTAATTTATTAATCTGTGTTATGCTACAATTCCCAGCATCTTTCAAACTTAATGAGAAATGTTTTTTTCTGTAATATCTATCCCAGACCAGGTCATGCAACATTTTTGGGTTGAAAGTCATACTTTATTTTTAAGTATTAATTTTTTCAACCTGTGAGCACCATAGGGAAAAGTTTCAGTAATACTAAGGGCGAGGTGAGGAAAAAGAGAGAAGCTGACAATTCTGAACTCTCCCCTCTCTTTTTTATTTTTATTTTTATTTTGGAATGGGGTTAAACTTGATCCGATTATTGTTTCAATTTTTTGCTTCTTTTTTTAAGTATTACTTAAAACTTAGTATACCTGAAAAACTTCCCTATGATGCTCACAGACTGAAAAAAATAAAAATAAAAAATAAAGTATGACTCCCAACCCAAAAATGTTGTGTGACTTGTTTTGGGATAGATATACAGAAACAAAAATTCTCATTAAGTTTGAAGGATGCTGGGAGTTGTAGTTCAGCTACACTTAGCATACCATACACAATGTGTCCAAGTTACACTGAGCTCTACAAGACTTAATTTACTGATCTAGGAATCTCTTTTTGGGCAAAGCAAAGCAGAAAATGACTGTACTCTGTCAAAACTCATCATGTTTTGAGGCATAGTCTGCAGTCCCTGTTTTAGAGCATCAAAGTATGCTTAACTTTGTACCTTGGTACTCAACTGCTTTGAAACTCATTGAATTTGTTACTGAACACATTTTCACATGAAAATTTTGTCCCGATACTCATCATTTGTTTGGTACTCAACACACAAGCCAGAACTTGTCGTTGTCGGCTGCCTTGTGACTCACTACATTATTCCTAATGGGAAAATCTGTTTGGTACTCATCGTCTTTGGCACTCATCGTGTCTCCTGGAACCAATTAACAATGAGTACCGAGATACCACTGTATTTCTTGATCATACCTAAAAAACCTCTTCACATGCACATTTTGCATACATCTATATTATCTATCATCCAACTATAACCCAGAATACTTCCAAGGGGAGGTGAGCTTCCTCAAGCAAGGATATCCAGTTTACAAGCTGCCACAGGAGGAATAGTCCCCCCCCCACTTCTATCATGTCCTTCCTAGCTCCTGCCCCTATGGAAGCCCAGGCCTAGTTCTGACAACAGGAAGTACTTCAGGACTTTAGAACTTGCCATAATCACACAGAAGATATCCAGCAAGGTCAATGTGAATTTTAGAAAAGCAGGATTTTAGAGGCTAGCTATCGGATTCATGGTTTAGGAAAGTCACTGCTCTCTCTTCTCTCTCCTTTTGGTGCCCAGCAGAACACAAGCCTCTTCCTCTTTTCACCTCTGCCTCCCACCGTCCCACGTCTTCCCCTCCCCCCAGTTCCCAAGGGACTGTGCAGCTAATTAGCAATGGTGGCAACAATAGCAATACGAGTAACATCAGCAGAAAGTAAAAATAAAAGAGAACAGAAAAACAAGCAAGCACTGCAGCACGGCCTCAGCCCCAGCAAAGCTAGCATGGAGATATGGGGGTACGTACCTCCTGATGTTTGGGGGCAGGGAAAGGCAGAGCCAAAATCATGGAAACATACAAATGAGGGAAAAAGAAAATTAAAAAACAAAGGACTAAAATTTGCCCTTCGTGCACAATTCAATTGCAGTCAGCAGTGGGCATTGCCCAAGCTAAACATTTTTGAGCAAAAGGGAAAAGGAGGGAGGAAGAGCTCTCCTTAAAGGGAGCCAACATATCTCCTATCTTAATACAAAAAAAGGGCTGATAAATTTCTGGGGTTACCAGCATGCCAAGGCCATGAATGCAGCAGCCGCTGGGACACTTGATAGACAGGTTCACCTCTCCTGATTAATTCTTGCCATTGGCCATATCATGAATGTGTTTGCCACACAGTTGACTGAGGAGTTAGTGATTTTAGTACCAAGGCAGTGGTGGGTGTTAAAATGGCCTGGAGCCAGGAGACCTCTATGGGTGGATGGGAAGGGCAGCATGCATCATCAAGGGCCAAAGGGTTCAGCCAAAGAACAGCCACATGTGGAGAAAACCAGGGTTATGTCCCACACATTCAAGGCCAGTGGTCCTACCTGCTCCACCTTTGTTCTCCTGTTACCACCACCTCCTTCAACCCTCCCCTCTGGAACATAGCAAAGAGGCCTTGTTTCTCACTCGGAGTGAACGATAGAAACCTCCTCCCACTTCTCTGTCTCTGCAGGGTCAGCCTCCGTTTCCCCGTCTTTGCTGTGCTCTTAGCCACATTTTCCTGAATTGCACAATGCTGAAGTTCTCCTTTTTTTAAAATGATGTCACTGAATAGACATCATCATGACAATTCTAAAAAGATTTGGCTTATGACGACGGGGATCATCCCCACTGTGGTCGTCTCTTAGGACCTTGCTATTTGGACAAGTCTTCGGGCTACGATGTTCACTCCACTCAGAGAAAAATTCATATCTTCTAGATAAATAAATCAGGAGCATCTGTTCCACTCTCTTTTGTTGCCCCTGAGAAAAGTGAACAGAGGAAATGTCCAAACCAGGAGGCACTGCAGAACTGGATTTCAAGTGCAACGTTGGGGCTCTTGGCATTAGTACCATCACAATCTGAGCCATATTTTTAAAACAGTTGCCATAGAAGTTGAAATACAAACAACAAAACGTTCTGTCTTTGGAACTGAAGTAAATTTGGAAATTGTTTCCTGAAATGGAATATTAAATGCTGGAATTTGCATTTCACTTCTAAATCCTTATTTCTTTTGTTTCAATCAACCTCTCTTGCTAGATGGTAAGAGTCTATCCTAAACCAGGGTCATTTATATATCTAAGGGATGGCCAACGAACAACAATAGTAATAAAAGACATTGTCTTATTCTGATAATCAATTTGGCTATAATTTTACTGATTTGTCAAATTTACATAGCCACCCATCTTGCACAAAGTGACAAAATTGTGCTGTCTGTCAGTTACCTCTACCTGCTTAATCTCTTCAATGTGAAGAATCTCTTCAGAACTGGGTCCAGCAGGTAGGCCAGCCAAGCAGCCTTCAATTTTTACTCTGAGCCATAACAAAGTACAGCTTAATAATTCTGCCCAAATACTGCAGCTATTTTTTAATTTGCCAAGCGAGCTAAATATGTTTGCTCAGAAGGCACTTAAATTCCTTTTGTGCAGCTACTCAAGGTCCGTGAAATGTTTTTTCAATAAATTTTTAGGATTTGTAAAACTGAAAATGGAAGGGATTTCAATCTTCTGGTGCTTGCTGCGTAATTGAAATCAGCCATCAGATTTTCCACTATGCAATTATTTAAATGGAATGCCTTTCTATTACTCATTGAGCAGACATGATACAGATAGACTACAGCTCCATCATCCCATGGCTATGGAGGCTAGTTAGGGGGAAAGAGATTTTGAATCTAACTCCTAAAGCACCATAGCTTTCCTATTCCCATCACAGAGAATGGAAAGTCTGGACAGTTTGTTACTGAGCTAAGAGAAACCTTGCTACCTGTAATCACAATGTGTATTAATCTTATAATATATAGGATTATTATATAGGAAAATGTGGTTATTATATGCACTTGCAGTAATACACAGTTGTATTACTATTGTACAACTATATACTTACTGACACACTTATCAGTCTATCCTCAAATCTATATGAGAACAACAGGAGATACAGGTTCCATAATGGCATTAGTAAATCTACATTAGTTCTGTCATAAAACAAGATAAGAGTGATCCTTGGTCGTTTTTTGCATGCCTTGATTTAAAGAAACAGAAGAGGAGGGATAGAAAAAGTGGGGACTTAGACTCGAAACTTATTTTGGACATCAAAGCTAGATGAGTGTATGTCTTCTCTCTGGCTCAAAGCAAAGTATGAAAAGTTATGTATGTAGAATAATTTCATTAATTTAATTTAGTTAAGATTCAGCCATTATCAATTTGACTATTTAGGAGAGTTCCATTTTCAGATTTGATTTTCAGATTCCAGGTGATTTACAGTAATATTCCTACAAGAGAAAAAACAACAACTAGACAACCACCTGTTCCTCAAATAAGCCAGGAAGACTTTTTGAGCCAAATTCTGGCAATTGAAAAAACAGCTTTGAGGGAACAAGAAGAGGGAGCCAAGAGCTGCACAAGGAGAGCTGGTGAATGCATCCTAGTTGATCTGTTAACACTGTCAGTGCGTGCAGAGCTGCTATGCGTGAAGTGATGCCAGAGACTAGTCTGAAAAATGACAGTGAGAAGCAAGGGACCATAGATAAGTCTTTAGCTTCTCTGTAGGCAGCTGTAGGTGTGCATTTTGGAACTAGATTCACCTGCCATTCCCAAGTAACCTGTCCTTTCTTCCTAAGTACATTCCTTTGCCCAATTTTGGTAAGAATTGGCTGGCCAATCCCAGCTTAAGAGGGCCATAGGAAGTTACTGAGCATTGCAACCAAGACCTTCCTGACTGGAGACGCTGTTTAAGAAAAGATAATGAGAAGCTTTCAGGTTGTATAGCTGGTCCTTTATGCTGGACTGTGGCCACCGAGCCCCATGCCAAGAGACTCCTGCTGAGCTCCATGCTCCCTGCAGCCCATGCCACAGCATCAGCAGCCCAGTTCCTTGTTGGTCAGGCCTTGCCTCGTGCAGACACACACTCACCAAGCTTCAGAAGCCAGCCTTCACGGTCCGGATTAAAGAAGGTATGCGTCAAGTCATTGCCATCATCCTCGGGTATTTTGAAGGGCTCATTTTTTATGCTGTCATAGAGATTCTGGTGTGAAGGAGGAGAAACATGTGGTGGATCACTTCCACGGAAAGGCTCTGCACCACCTTTTCAATACGTACTAGTGCACTTTCTACTTCCCAAGAACCGTGACTGAGTTTGGAAGCTCAGTATTTGAGCAGGAGATATCGGGAAGACCAAGGTAGATTCAACCCTGATCTGTTCCTGGGTCCTGGGAGAGCCTGCCAGGCAGACAGACAGACAG